GGTATTGGTCGGCGGGTGGTATTGTATTCTCTTCCCTTGTTATTTCCCTTATCATTATTATTACTGGTGGTAGCAGCAGTGATTTGTGTTATACCTTAGTTACTGGACTGTTCTTATCTCAATCCGTGGTAGTTACATTATTTCGATTCTCCTCCCCATCCCTTCAGGAGCAGGGGGAGGGAAGAAGCAGGGGGAGTGAGAGAGCGACTGTGTGGCTGATTTACAGCTGAGCTTAAACCACGACATCAGTCTAAAGCTGAAACACAGCACTGCACCAGCTACTAGGAAGGATAAAAATAACTGCTACAGCTGAACCAAAAGCTGCACATTCCCAAATCAGTGATGCTTTCTTCTTGTATAAGGGAAGCCAATTAATCAATATCCTGTGCAGGAAATGAAAGCTCATATAATGCATTTAACTGTAGCTCCTTGTAAGATATTAATCCATTACGGGCACAGTTCTGCATAAAAAAACTGTCAAATCCTGTAGATTCAGTGACCTGTTGCAGCCAAACAAGCCAATAATTCAAAAGCCAGTCTACGAAAGGCTTCAGCTTGCACCAAGACATAAAGCACAAAGCACAGGAATACAAAGCAAAGCTGCTCTCCTGATGTGCGTTAGACCCTAAGCCAGCCAAGAGCCCCTGTTCTAAGTTCCCTGTCCAAATCTCATAGGAACTAAAGAAACAGCAGCATGCAAAATCTTATTTCTGTTTTCCACTCACTGAGTGCCAGGAGACAGCCAGTTAGAAAGACCAGAGAAGTCTTTTGCTTTTATTTTCCCTCTTGCCTCCCAATAACACAACATTCTTCTACTTTTACTTTTCATTAAAGGTAACCTTTTCTGCATGTGGCTGCTATCAGCTCTGTATGCTCGGTCCCAAACAGGTTACAGCATCAGGTTTTCAGTCACACAATAGAGAATTCAATAGAAAAACTTGCATTTTTTCCCCTTTCACATGTCTAAAACCAGTCATTTAATATTTACCTCTTAAAAAAAAAAATCATTAAATTACATTTCTAGGATGACAACCACATTTTAAACCACTGGAAACTTCTCTTTTAGGGGCTCACCTATGCCTGCTCGCCCTTCTACACCAACTAATCCATCAAAATTTGCCAAAATGATGGTAGATGTGGATAAATGTCCCCGTTGTGGCAAATCTGTGTATGCTGCAGAGAAGATTATGGGAGGAGGAAAAGTAAGTAGTTACTACAGGACCTAAAACAAAACACACTTCTATAATGGTGAGAAACTACAGCAAATGTGTCCTTGACATTTCAAGTTTTTGCTCAGTATCAAATGAAAAAACATGAGGATGAACCAGCAAATTGTTGGAGTCTGATGTACATTCAAGGTTTAAAACCATGTGCTTTTTGTAAGTTGCCTTCAAGTTTATACAGCTTGTTTATGTCTGAAGAACAACTCCTGGTCTCTGTTCAGGCTGACTCTACTAACTACCATCTCTGGGGATATTTACCATTTAAACATTTATTAGTAGTGACAACTGCAGATGTATCAAAGAGATCCTGCGACTAGTAAAGCCAAAGGCCTGTCTCACAGGACATGCTAGCTCTCTGCTCTAGGAACTCTCACTAGAATATTATCTCTGCATATCAAAAGAAGTGGCCAAACCAGGAGTAATACTATAGCTCCCTGCTTTTCACCTGACCTCCATTAATAACAAAGTGATTGAGTAAGATCTTGACATGGGATAATGAAGTAATCAAAGAAAGACTAACCCATAATGCCTAAAAATGGAAGCCATAAGACCAACAAAATGTTAACCTTTTCACACCTTAAAAATAGTTCGTTCCTTGTATCTGCTAGCTGTGTGCTTTTGGTAATATACGGTGAATTGCCTTCATTTCCTCAGCCTTGGCATAAGACATGCTTCCGTTGTGCTATTTGTGGGAAGAGCCTAGAATCCACAAATATTACAGACAAAGATGGAGAGCTCTACTGTAAAGGTAAGAACTGCAATGAGCTGAACTGCGTTACTGAGACAATCAAAAATGAGTCTCTTCAGACCTAGTACTGCCATCATGATTTACCTTGCTGCAGGCTTCACGACTCCACAAAATTCCATTTTATCTTTTTTAACAACTTTCGGAAAGCAGAGGTAACATTGCGGTTTCTTCTTCTATTGTAAACATGTAATTTTTCAAGCTGTAATTTTTCTACAAATATAACACCCTCTTACCTCTGTCCTCAGACCTTTCAACAGGAACACTGGCCAGATCTGCTGGGCAGTCTCTTGTACCTGCAGAATCTCATTCACTAAAAGGAAAGTAAAAAATATACAAAGATACAGAGCTCTAAAGGTTGTCATCCATGTCAGGTCATGGTCCTAATTTGAATTCTTGACAGTAGAAGTTCAAAGATTCTTCTAAATTAGTGCTACATTATACATCCAAATGTTTTTCTAGGATCAAGAATGCTCACAGATTTCACCTGACTCTTAGAAGTAGCTTAAGAGGAAAAATATGCAAAGTTTTTATATCCTAGGCTAAAATAGATAGGGAATCCTGGAGAAGAATACTTAAATTCTGTGGCTTTAGGTACAGTCTGACAACTGCATGTCATCAAATTATCATATCTGCAGAAATCTGCTGATCTTTACTACTTCCTTAGCAAAGTTCTGACCAATAGCTATGCATACACTTAGCAATACAAAGTTGAAATGGAATGGTTTAAAATACCATCAATAGTTTCTGAATTATCCTCTTTTAAACTCCTTGTAAAATTTCTAACTTACTACTCTACCTGTATTACTTGTGCAGAGCAAGTTTTACTGGGTGTTTTCAGGTAACAAAGTAGCTTTAATGATAATGTTACATCTTAAATACAGAGGCCCTTAATTGTTTTTTAAGTTGTTCTTTTTGAGAAGATCAGATGCGACTTCTGTTTAATTCAAACATGTGACTTCAGTTGCACACTGTCGACACTTCTGGGAAAGAAAGCATTCAGATTTCCTTCCTTTTAGTAATTTAAATTTTGTAGTAGTACTAAAGCCAAAAGTCATTTACCTCTATGTGAAAACATTCAGGATGCCATTTACCACTCTTCTCCTTTTGCAGTTTGCTACGCAAAAAATTTTGGTCCCAAAGGAATCGGCTTTGGTGGGCTCACTCAAGTGGAAAAGAAGGAGTGTGAATGAGAAGCAATGGGTGCAAAAGACTCAAGCTGCTGTTGATGGCACTACCTGACAGCTGTCAAGTAAAAAATTAAAGATCACATATTGCTAAGAACCTAGGGCATTTGTTTAATCTTTTTCACTTTGCAGGAAAAAACTTGTGAGCTTATATCTTAAGAAATTCTTAGATTAGTTCAGGAAAGGCAAAGTAGATGTGATTCACTTTGAGTTTCAAATCTCTTTTGAGTGTCTGTTTCTCTCAAAGGGAGGTATTTCTGAAGCAAATCAACATTTTCTTAGAATACAGTGTTGTAAGTTTTGTTATTGTATGTTTACAAGCTACAATAAAGTTCTGCTACTGCTTCACATTGTTCTTACTTGAATTTGCTTGTGCATAGTTCTACAATGTCACAGATAAATGCATTTCACTGAGATGAATTAAATACCCCACTTCTTAACTACAGGAATTGCATTTCATTGCAGTACTTCACTTTCATGTTACCAATTCCAGATGGTATTTATTTTCCTGATCTTGATCTGTTTCCCTGTTGGTTTTCATTATTACCTACTTCGACTTATAGTCAAACCCACACTGCTCTTCTTGGGAACATGGCTGACATCTGGTTATTAAAGATCTATGCATGCAGGTGGAAAAAAAAAAATTGCGCTTTTTGTATACATTTGTCACGGTTTAAGCCCAGCCAGTAACTCAGAACCACTCAGCTGCTCGCTCACTCTCCCTCTTTCTTCCCCCCCTTGCCCCCGGAAGGATGGGGAGGAGAATCGAAAGAGTGTAACTCCCACGGGTTGAGATAAGAACAGTCCAGTAACTAAGGTATAACACAAATCACTGCTGCTGCTACCACCAATAATAACGATAATGGAAAAAACAAGAGGTGAGAACATGAAACTGACAGGTGAGAAGGAAACCAAAAAACACAAGTGATGCACAATACAATTGCTCACCACCTGCTGACCGATACCCAGCCTGATGCAAGAAGCCATCTGGGCTTGCTGGGTAACTCCCCCCAGTTTATATACTGGGCAAGACATGCTGCGGTATAGAATACCCCTTTGGTTAGTTTGAGTCAGGTGTCCTGTCTCTGCTTCCTTCCGGCTTCTTTTGTCCCTCCTCACTGGCAGAGCATGAGAGACTGACAAGTCTGTGATCAGGATAAGCATTACTTAGCAACAACTAAAAACACTGGTGTGTTATCAGCACTGTTCTCAGGCTAAAGTCAAAAACACAGCACTGCACCAGCTACTAAGAAGGAGAAAAATAACTGGTACAGCTGAACCCAGGACAACATTGCTCTTTTCCACCATCAACTTAACCATTTTCACACACTAACAGGGCATATATCCATGCAAAACAGGAGGCAAAGAGTCAGGTGTTTTCTTATGGCTTTGTGCCTACCTGTTCTTACACACCTCACTGGTCACAAATCCCTTGACTATTTCAGCCTGTAAAAACACCCTTAGAAGCAAGAAAGACCTATTTTATCACATGTAAGCCCTCCAAATACAAATACTTAAAAGAGTTTTTCACAACATCAGTAATAAAATTATAGTGCAAATGTAACAATTTTTTTAAATGGGAACATTCCCTTTCATTTACAAATATAATTTTCTTTTATTATCTGCAAAATAAAGCAAAGGCTAAAACATGGTTTTGAAATTCCACTCTATAAACTTACCCTGAAAAATATACTCTTAGTCACATAAAATTTCAGATAGTTTAAGTTCAAACTATGCATCACAGACATATAGTGATTGTTCCATATACAAATCTGTTGTAGCTTATGCAAGATAGGTTTAATATTTGAAACGGTAATAAAAACAAAACCAAGGAACTTCAGAACAATTTGTAAAAACTAACAAAATATCCAGTTTTATTTAGCTTTCAGCTCAATGGTTTTAGAAATTATGCAAAACTTCATACAGAATGAACAGTTTTCTCCTTTGCCAGATAAAGAAGGTTGTATTGCTTGGTCCAGTCAATTACATTGGGTTTGAACATACCAAAGCAACGGCACTGAAAAAAGTCTGCAAGGTTCTGGAAGCATCCAAGACTGAAAAGGAAAGAAATACCCATTAATAAACCTAACAAAAGAGGACTGCAAGCATCAAACATACACATTCACCGTAAGACACTACATAAGACAGACATAAGGCTGTCAATGAAGACAGCTCTGGGAGAAGAAACATAAGCACAGTTCTCCATTGACCATCATTCCTTTGTTGAACTTTTAAACTTGTATTACATTAAAGACTTCTACAACCTGTATTACATCATAGAATGAGAACAGATTAAGTTCCCCTCCAATATTAAAAAGTTAGTAAGATCTCATCTGCTCCCACACATGAGGAAACAGAGAATCCTAGTATAACAGGGAAACCTTGGTACTGGTTTCTCTGTTGAACTAACTATCACACGAGAAGGCAGAAAGGAGTCACTTCATAGCTGAATTCTCTTTCTAAACCTACAGCACACACACACAGATTGATGAATAAATTAAAGGACAATATTCCCTCATCCCCAAAATAGTGTCTACTGATGAATGCTATGGACTGATGCTATGGATACACTACGCTATGCACCTCTTTTTCCTATATATTCTGCCATGCAAGAAAGAACCCCAGCAGCTCTTATGCTGGCTGCTTATTTCCCAGGGCAAAGCAAGTTCTCAGCAAGATAAATGAGGTCCACTCCCTTCTCTTAGCACAGCTCCCAACAGGCATGACCAGCACACCCACAGAATACCACGTTTTTGCATTTATGAAACAGTGAAGCAAATCAGTACTGAAATGTGTTTAAAACATGCTCTTCATGAATACTCACTTGTATGGAGTCCTCCTGAGTGAAAGAGCATGCTTAGAAGATTTTCTCTGTATTAGGAGGTTCATTCTTTCATGTGAGGTCAATCCCAAGAATGCAATCTTACCAAAATGAATATGTAAAATATGGTTAAAACATGAATATCACAAATTCAAATTCTGGTGCTACCAAAAGCTACTACTGGGAAGGGAGGGATGGGAAGAGGTTTGCTATATCTAACTAAGTAACTACTGCCATAATTAATGACTGAAAAGTATGTTTTTACACATCAATTGGACTAAACCCAGAAAACTGTAACATTAACACTTACGCTGAAGAGGCAAGCTTATTTGGGATGACTGTACTGTACTTTCAAGACTGTATTTCACAGATGTCTACAGAAGTTTAAGATTACAGGCATTAAGCACTTATCTCCTCAGATTTTGTCTATAATCTACCACACAAATTGGTAAAGATCCTCCAAAAAGACCAAGTGGCTTAGCAAAAAAGATGTAGATGTAAAAAAAAAAAAAAGTAGATGTCAGAGACTCAAATTCTTCTTTTTCTTTATTCCATGTCTTCTTTACTGAGCTTCATAAAATGAAAGAAGTTGGTGTTGGGTTTTTTTTGCATATTTGCTTACCTATTCCTTCTTCCATTTTCTTCTTTTCTTAGCAAAATCTTATACAGTTTTTGGCTGAATGCCACACTATCATAAAGCAGCACATTTACAAATGACTATGCTCAAAACATGGTAGTTAACTGTAAATATCCTACCTAGAACCTTTTTTTGTTTTTTTCCAGCATGGTATCTCAGTAATGGACATGATGAAAGGTAAGCATGGACATTACAGACATCTAGCAGTACACATTGCAAGTTGTGGATAATTTTTTAAACAAGATGGTAAAAAAGGCTTTAGCTCAGTACGCTTAACACATATTTAGATGACACATCTTTCCTAAAAGCTGATAAACAAGCCGTTTCCTACATGTTCTTAAGACAGCTGTTCTCCATCTTGTTTGCATAGCCAAGTGCTCTCTGAGAACAACATAACCAAGAAATTCGACAGTCCTCACCAGGATCCCATCCAGCTCATCATTTTATTGTAGCAATGGGATTTAACGCAGTGTAATGATGCACTGCTGAGCTCTGCCATGGAATCTTTGATTCAGGCTAATCATGTTATTGAGCTTTTGTGCCATTTTGGGGGCACTAATACCACTTCTATTAGAAAATGTCTTTAAATAAGTCTTTATACGTTTGGAATTTTTGATGACCACTAAACCCAGAACTCAGTGACAGGAATGATTTGCAGGCTGTAATCCTACTTTTAACATGGAAATGCTGAATGCACAAGTACCTATGAAACTGAAAGGACTGCACTGAGATTTAACGAAAGCACCTATATGTGACATTCATTAACCAAGGAAAACAGGCACAGTTCTTATGGCAGCAGATCATGTAGGGAAAAGCTTTAACATGATGCCTCTTAAAGAGAGGAGCAGAAACTGAAACAAACTACTACCTGATAAAGCTGAACAATCAGCCACAACGAAGCCCACCCAGTATGAAAACAGGCTAGTGCAAACATGTAGAAAACCCACGGGGAACAATAGATTATCTGTGTGAAGTACGCCCATGCTCCATCTTGATGGTAACTCGTTGCACAATGATTTGTCCAATCTGGCAAGATGAATAATCAGTTAATTATGTTATTAAGCCACTTAAGAACTGAACAAAGATTGTTTGCATGGAATTAATATTACCTAGCAATATGATCTAGAATACCATGTTTGATACATCATGTTCCCACTTAAAAGCACCCACAGAGATCTGTGACTGCTTGCTATTCTGGCTGCATAATTGTTACATTATGTATTTATAACCCACATAACCCCATTTTCCTTGAAGGACCATTCAAGGCACTGACTACATTCTTGATATTATATTGAAATAAGTCATCACCTCTTATTGTCAAGACTTCTGAAATTTTGCTTCATGCACGTTTGTAATTTTAGGGCAAGAACTTATCATTTATCCTTAATACCATCGTCAACAGAAGAAGACACGATGGTGAAAATGCCAAGAAAGCCGCATTTAGCACTACTAAATATGCCTACCACATAGGCATTTAACCTATTAAAAAATCCCCACAAGCTAGAAGCAGAGCAACCTCTTTTTGCTTCTGTGGCAGTAGAACAATGAAAGGTTCTACTTTCCTCCCATGTTCCTGCACACACAGGAAACAGAGAAAAACCACATGCTTTCTGCATATATATAAGACCACCAGTAAAAGACAGGAAAGCAAGACATGTTCATACAAGTATCCTGCATTCTCCACTACCGTAGCTGTTTCAGTTCACTATCTTGAACATCGACCCACTTCAATATAATGTAAAGTAATATAAAATAAAATTTAGAACTTTTTACTTAAAAGGTACTTTACTTAAAAGAATGTATAACTACATTCTAAGGGCTCTACTCTCTCCAAGGAATGTCTCTGTTTTCCAGTTTGGATTTATCAGTTAGATAGACAGTTCTACTCAAAGTCATCATTACCTTAAAAATAAAAAGACACTTTGGCAAGTGTTCAATATAGTTATTTCCAAATAACAAAATCAATACAGCCTTTGCAATAAAGTATTTACAAACTGATTTTCCATTACAGTGAAGGCTATCCAGGCTAGAACCTGCAACCTGACATTCCTCCACATGGCTTCCCTATTTCACCTAAGATAAATGCTTACTGATACTGTATTTTCTAATGGACATCCCACTAGAGCTCTAGAGTAGCTCTTACTCAACACACATGTAAGTAGACATTTGACCAAAGACTCAGATATGATGTATTTTCATTTAAAGATGGAATTCCAAGATAAAAGCACTGCTGAAATATGGTATTATTTGTGCAAGTATCATCACACTTGCTGGAAATGAAATACTGAAAATTGAAGACCATACACACACATCTTCGAGAGATAACTTGATATAAATTCATGGATACATACACAGAAGAGTTCCATAAAGCACCCAGACACTGGTCATAGTTAGGAAAGACAGGAACAGCAGGTAGTAACAATGGTTCCCAATGCCTGAATTTGAGACAAGATTAAAAAAAAAAAAAAAAAGGTTGACTTTCTAAAATTCAGCAGTACTTGCATTTCCCTTTAAGTTCATAGGACTAAGAAGTTAGCCAGATTTGTCTCTTCTTCAGAGCATGCCTTTAGCTGTTTTGGCTAGATGAGGACTAACTATGCAACCACAGCTCTCACTATGCACAGTACAGTTGTCTCATATGACTGAAAAATCTAAGCTGTTCAATTTAATTGTTTGACTTTTGTGTGCTTCAGAACTGCAAACACAGGCATGAAAAACTCGAGACTTCTGTCAGAGAAACTGTTACATGAAGATATACAAACATTTTCCTTCAAATTACAATCAGTATTGCTCAAAGCTTTGAAACAATGCATCAGAAGGATGTCTCACCACCTTATAACAAACGCTGTAAAAATATTTTCAAGTATTTAACACTGCAAAAAGCAATTGGCAAAAGAATGCTAAAAATACATTGCTACAGATAGAAAATTCTAACCTTTCTGTCTTAAGCATCACCAGTAATGAGAGAGAAAGGAAGAATATGCTTGCTTCCCAAAGCACTGGTGGAAACACCATCCTTGGAAGTAAGTGTTCACAGACTGTGTAGATGAGGCCCTCAGTGACCTGGTTTAGTGGTGGCCTTGGCAATGCTGGGGGAATGGTTGGACTTGATAATCCTAAAGCTCTTTTCCAACCCAGCTGATTCTGTGAAAGAGGGAGTTTCTCAAAGAACACCAAAACAAGGCACTCTGCAGGGTTAAATGGTCCAGCTGCTCCACTGCACTGTCTCTAACAGTGACAACAGGCAACATCAGTCCAAGAGGACACGTGAGGCTGGCCACTTTGTACAGCTCATTCTCCTCATCCACAGCTTCTCTCTTAAAATGTCAGAGCGTACATACTTGTTTAGTTCTTTTAGTAGCTACTTTTGGACACACTGTACAACCATTTGTCTAATCCCTTTCTGAACCTTCTGATGCTGCCTGTATCTGCAAACCCTTATGGCAGCAAGCTCCAAATTTCCTCTGCCTGCAATGTAAAGACTTCTTTTTTCCTTCACCAATTTTAAATCCAGATGCTATTCTCACTGAGCCTTCCCTAGTATGATGTGCCTCGCAAATACCCGTTCTGCATTCACTTTAGCCACCATTTCATTGCTTCCTGTTGTTCCTGTTACTCTTTCTCTCAAAAGGAGAAGTCTCAGACTTTTTGGCCCCTACTTTCAGGCTGACCAACCCATCTCTTTAACAATTACAGTTGCCTTTCTCTCAACCATCTAACTCATTTCCCTCTGGCATCTATCAGTAAGCCCTTCAGTATCAACTATGTATTCTTACATGAGGTGTGCTCTCTCTCTCAGGAGATAAATGTTATTTCTGCAACTTTTTAAATATGTGGCATTTTCTGATAAAACAAACCCTCTCACCAATGCACTGTCCAGTCCACAGAGAATGATGATCATATCTGGCTACACATGAATCACAAGCAAGGCAATGCACAGATCTCAAAGGCTTCCTTACCTAGTTGAGAGGAAGGAAAAGAATATAGCCATAGCAAAAGCATCTATTGCACTAAACCTTAGAGCATCAGCTCATAGGCACCATCATATTTCGTCCTCTATAACATACATTTACTTCGTATAACAAACATATTCTATACTCTAACAGACCTCACAACATGCAACATAGACAAGAACTATAAATCTTAATTTTACAAAAAAATTAATAGAAATAATTATTTTATTAAGATTAGAGTTCAAGGATATCAAAGCATCTCTTTTGTCACTGTAAAAGAAAAACATAAATCTAAATAACACAAAACAAACTATGCATGTAACACTTACATTACAAGCGATAAGGAGAAAGCTTTTTATAGCAGGACTGAGTAAAAGCCAAATTCAAGAAGCAAACAAATACCAAAACCTCACTTACAAGACATGATGTGCAAAACGTTCTGAAGTCCAAGCAATTTGCTTCTGCAAGAGCTCCAATGTTCTGAAAGACAAAGTAGTTTGTGCTTGTGTTTGGATCGCATTTCCAGGGGGATGTGAAGATTTTTACATTAGGCCTTTTGCAACTCATCAGCATTTTGAGTGCCAAGCATTGATAGGAATAAGTGCTCAATGTTTAAAAAGGTCTGTGAGAAACACCAGACAGCAAAGACTGATGTAACTTCCCCCATGCAGAATTACCCAGAAAACTATCTCTGTTGCCAAAATTAATTAACCATGTGGATGAAGTATTCTTCAAAATGAGATGGTCTTAAGACTATCTCATCTATCCATGCCAAGTGCAAGGTCCTACACCTGGGTCTGAGCAATCCCAGGCACAGCTACAGGTTGGGCAGAGAAGAGATTCAGAGCAGCCCTGTGGAGAAGGACTTGGGGGTGTTGGTTGATGAGAAAATGAACATGAGCCGGCTTCAGTGTGCGCTCACAGCCCAGAAGGCCAACCGTATCCTGGCCTGCATCAAAAGGAGTGTGACCAGCAGGTCGAAGGAGGTGATTCTGCCCCTCTACTCTGCTCTCGTGAGACCTCATTTGGAGTATTGTGTGCAGTTCTGGTGTCTTCAACATAAAAAGGACATGGAACTGTTGGAACAAGTCCAGAGGAGGGACATGAGGATGATCAGGGGACTGGAGCACCTCCCGTATGAAGACAGGCTGAGAAAGTTGGGGCTGTTCAGCCTGGAGAAGAGAAGGCTGCATGGAGACCTCATAGCAGCCTTCCAGTATCTGAAGGGGGCCTACAAGGATGCTGGGGAGAGACTCTTCATTAGAGACTCTAGTGATAAGACAAGGGGTAACAGGTTAAAACTTAAACAGGGGAAGTTTAGATTGGATATAAGGAGGAAGTTCTTTACTGTTAGGGTGGTGAGGCACTGGAATGGGTTGCCCAGGGAAGCTGTGAATGCTCCATTCCTGGCAGTGTTCAATGCCAGGTTGGACAGAGCCTTGGGTGACATGGTTTAGTGTGAGGCATCCCTGCCCATGGCAGGGGGGGTGGAACTTGATGATCTTAACGTCCTTTCCAACCCTAACTATTCTATGATTCTAAGATACAAGATACCTCTCAGGTAGTCAGCCAGACCTCAGAGACATGAGGAGAGCTGCTGTATTTACTGTTCTGTCATACATACTAGGTAGACAACATTTACTAGTCCTGTGGCAAAAAGCTCAAAACACAGTTCTCACTGGCAATCTGAACAAATACAACCTCTTGGAGAGCAATGAAATGACAAACACAACGCACTCCTTAATCCACAAGTTGGGGAGACCAAATATCAAAGTCCCTACTGATTTCTTTTTGCCATTCTAAGAGAGAGCTAGGAAATAGCACGTCATTTACATGATGCCTAAGCACAAAAATCAAACCATTATATGCATCTTCAAAGCATCTAACAAAATTTAAGTAATTTCTAGCCTTTGAGCTAGAAATGTCTATGTTTTATGAGCATGGAGAGTTGTAGGAAAGCATCGTGAATATCTCTTGCTAAACTGAGACAACTGGAGTGGCAACCATACAAAATTCGTATTTATGAAGTGAAGTTCTATGTGAGTTTATATCGCAGATAACACCAATGGTTCTGTACAATGTTTTGGCAAAGGTCACATTTCAATGAAAAGATGGAAGCAAGCCCATTATGGCAGGATTATGAAGATAAGGAAACAAGCAGTAGAAGGACACATTATCTACTATCTACGTTGTGCGATGCTGTTGCTAAAAACCCATAAGAGTATTTCACTGCTTTCAAGACTAACAAAGCTGCACATGATGATGAAAATAACCATCTCTTGCACCAGATGAGCCCTTCCCTCTGTTTTTATGAAGTCACCTACCTCCTTCCTTTCTTTTTCTGAGGTCTTAATATATCCAGGATTGGTTCTCCAAGTTTTATAAAAATAATAAAGAAGACCCACCACGCTGAGCATGACAGTGATTTCAAGAATTCTATCTGTTCCATGTAATATTCAGGTTAAGGAATATATTCTATCACTGCTATCTGTCAAAGAAAATCCTCTAAAATTAGTTTATTACTTCACAAGCAACACACAAAAAGGAAAAGAATAAATTTCACTTTTCTAGTAGGATCCTCTCTGCTCTTTAGAGGACACCATATTGGAGAAGTTGAATACTCTGTCCAGTTTGAGCATTTGAGAAGACTTTTACAACTGCACAAACAATATAGCTCTCTGTCATCCTCACTAGCAGAGTGCAGATTTTTGCCTTTAAGTATATGACAGATTCAAAGTGAATTCAATTTCTTCTTTTTCTCACTCAAGTTTGTCTATTTGACTGCAACAATACCAATCAGACATGCATAGCAGACATGCATAGTTACTGAATTTCCAGCAGCTGTGAGATTTGGCTGACTGCATCATACACCCCGAAGTCACTGAACACGCCTTTACTGTTTTCTAGGTCCTGCCCTCTTGTTTGTTTTAGCTAAAACCACTGAGTAAACTCAGACAGAAAGATGCAACTGGAAATCACCCTGGAAATACCTTTGTCACTAAAAAAAACTATACTAAGCACACACTGACAAAACACTTCCGAAGGTAATGGGATAGCTACTGGGAGTTATTCTTCCCTCACAAATATACTACAAAATCCATGGAATCGCAGAATGGTTAGGATGGAAGGGATCTCAAAGTTCATCCAGCTCCAACCCCCTGCCACGGGCAGGGACACCTTCCACTAGACGAGGCTGCTCCAAGCCCTGTCCAACCTGGCCTTAACACTGCCAGGGATGGTGCAGCCACAGCTTCTCTGGGCAAGCTGTGCCATGATGATGAAATGACAAACTTCTTGTCTAATTAGACATTTTTCCTCTTGCATACCATTTGCTTTTACCCAGTGGCTGACTATTTTAATTTAAGTCTATGGAGAGAATTCATCTCTCATGATCACCGGAGAACCAGATTGAAATTCAGTACGGTTATTTGCTGCAACATCTCTAGCAGACAAATTATTATGCAAGAGGGAGGATATACAGTCATTAGGAACATGATTTTTACACTAGGTACATAAAACATCTGCATGTCAGGTGAAAGGGGGAGAACAACATGTCAAGATTAACTGTCTCTATACAGCAACAGAGGACTGTGGAGTGGGACAAATTTCACACCAGTTAAATCCAAGCATTGACCTTGAGAGCACAGATAGCTAAAGAACAGTCCATGATGCCACCAAGGAGCAGTCAGAGCTCCCAAGCCTGGATTTCATCTCCAGTGACCTCTCAATTGCTATATAACCACACAATGCGAGTAACTCTTAAAGATCAAGTTCTGCAACCTCAAGGTTGCTTTGTCTTATGAACTAACAACATTGCAAATACCTCTAATTAAAATCTAGATGATAAATTACAACATATTAGCACTGAATTTTAGCAGACCTATAGCTGTGTTAGGGCTGAGAGAAGTCCTTAATTAGAATGGTTGGATTTCCATTCAGTCTAGAGGAACAGTTTGACAGTTTGATAAAAACAGCTAACCAAAATAGTGAACAATTTTATAACACTCAAATCTGTGAGCAGTTCCAGAAGGAAAACACATTCACGAGGAAAAGGGCTAGATACTAAAATGGAAACTACCCACTTTTGCCCATGTCACCAAGCTCTGGCTAGACCTTCAAGAATATTGCTCTGCTCCCTATCTTCAGCAGAGTGGCTGACTCAACACCCTCCTGTTGGAATTAGATCTCCTTTTCATGCATATGACACCAAGAAAATCTTAAAACTTCACAGTGCAACCCTGACAAGCATATGCACGTACCCCCAGAGGGAATATACTTATCAGTTTACCCAAGTTAATCCTGATAATTCTATTAAGGACATCTTAATTGGGAACAATACAAAAGAAAATGCCATTTAAAGGATGAAGTAATCAAAAATTCATTAAAATTGTGTAGCACTATATTACAGCTGGTTTAGTACAAAATTATTTACAGTTCTAAGTATGTCTCTAAAGGGTTTTTTTCATAAAACTCAACCAATGAATAAACAGAAGTCCCCTGTGTAACTTCCAAGGGCAGTGGTGGAATCTCTGTCCCTGGAAGTGTTCAAAAACTGTGCAGACAAGGCTGTCAGTGCCATGGTTTAGGGGTAGCTTTGGCAGTGCTGGAGTAAAGGCTGGACTTGATGATCGTAAAGGTCTTTTCCAACCCAGTTGACCCTATGATTCCATAAGCACAGGGCACTGAAAAGCAAGTGTAAACTACTACAACTTTTTTGTACTAATCAGTGCAAAGCCTCTTGAAAGAAAGCAAAAGAAATGTAGAAATTACTTCACTGCACACTAAGGATGCAGCATAATCTGTGAATGGATAGGAGACTGGAAGATCTACTTTGGAGAGACCTGAAGAAATTTGTTCCTTGTTTTTTTGGTGGTAAGTATACTGTTTTTAAAAGCAGAAGCACGAATTTCACTAACTGTCAAATCCTTGTCATTTTAGAAAGAAGAGATTTTTCTTATTAATGCATTTGTTATCCTGTTATATAATTGAGACTCTCATACAGTATAGTCACATGGAGATGTTAACAGAGACAATCAGGTTTATAACAAAGATGCCTTCCTTTTGATATTCCAGGAAGATAAGAAATAGCTCAGATTTATACACAAATATCTGATACAATAAAAAGGTACAAATTTTTAGTCCATATATAACCTGAAATTGAAGTCAAATTTATTTCAACCCTGCCTGATAGAAGTAAACCAGTCTTATCAGATGTCAACAGTCATGTAGAATTATCTGTCACTGTTCATTACTACTTGCATGACCAAGCCTACATTTATTAAGAACTGTTAAGGAGAGTTCTATTGAATTTCTTGAGTATAAAGGATATCAGGCAGGAACCAGAAAAACCAGGTCACAGACATCCAAAATATGGAACTTAGCAGAAATGCTGTGGGAAGGTGCCTTAGATTCTTGAGCCCCACAAGTTGCCTAAAAAGGATGTTAAAAGAAAAAAAAAAATATTAAAAAAATATATTTAAACCATAACTCCGCAGAGTATCCATCATCTGTTCAGTTATTTTTAAAATTTCACACATGCAGCACACTTCACATCTCTCAAAGTAATCAGTTCTCCTCACTCAAATGCATTCTTCAGCCAGATGTGTAGGGAGTTAACTGCAACAAATTAAACTGCAGAATGCTCTACTCCAGCCTGGTATTAAATATCAGAAGTGCTGTAGCAGTGGGTGAAAATTGCAATCCCTCTCTATTTGCACACTGCTGCAGGAACTGTTGAAGAAAGCAGGAAAGCTGTGAAACATCTCAGGATAACACTGGGAGGTCTGGGGAACAGGAGGGGAGTGAATGGTTCATTAAAGCTCATTCTGTGCCAAAAATACAGAAATAAGAGTTGAGATAAAGTAAATTTCTGAGCATTGTGCATTGACATCTGTGTCTACTGGCTGCAAACCTTCAGTAACACCCTCTTTATCACTAAAATTAGCTAGTGGACTGCTTAAACATTTTAGTGGTTTGGGGCTTTTATCCAAATTTTTCAGTGAAACTATTATTTTGCACACCTAAAGACATTCCATTTCTATGGTCATTCTAAAAAGTACATATATTTAAATCCTTCACACACACTGCAATCATTTCTCAGGAAGTATTTTTTTGCTAAGTGAAAATAAACTCTGAAAAGACTATTGCATTAGATACCTTATATGGTGTCTGTACCAATGAAATACATGTATAGAGAGAAAAAGCCACAAACCTCACAAACAGAGCCATCCCCAACAGCAGGAAGAGGAGCAGACCTCCTTTCAAAAGCCAAGAATCAAAACTTAAGTTCATGACGTATCCTACGGCCCACATAAATGTCAAGGAAGATGCAAACAGCAGGACGAGCTATTAAGATTATTATGGTTAAAATATGACAAAGTATTCAAGCAGGACTTACTTCAAAAGTATTTAGCTAATGTAATAACAAATGCTGAAAGACTCAAGATAGGTAAGGTAAGGTGATAGACAACACAAAATCCCCACCCAAACCACTGCTACATGCTTTAAAGAATTTCAGTTTTGTGCACCCAGTTTCAGAAACCATAGGTGATCCTCTTGTTAGGAAAGAGTTGGCCTGCATTATTATTCTAAACACAGAATGCTCTAGATTTATTTCCATTAGTTTTTACTCAGGAAATTACCTCATATTTCTCTACTATTTTCAGTAACATATCATTTCTTCTGCTCCTCATTCTTTCTTCCTCTTTTACCATATAAACCATGAATCGATTCAGACTTTGATAAGCAAGGTCACATGGTGTCTCTCCCTTTAACAACAGAAATGTTTAGTTATTTATGCACTTAACACATATATGCTTTCCCTTTTAACAGAAGCAAAAAATAAATATAGCTATAACAAGAATAACTGGTCAATCACTTCCCAGCCCCTCCCCTTTTATTTTAAGGCAAGAAAAAGCTAAATTCAGAGTTTTAACGTGCTTAGTCCAGTGCTTTGTAGTTCAGAAACCTGCTGCTTGTTTTCAGATTGCATCCATTCGAGTTACCTGCTGGACCGTCTCCAACAACCTGAAACACTGAACTGAAAGATGGAGAGAGGGCAAAAAATTTGCAAAAGAAAATCAGTGACTGAAAGGCTCAGCTGTCCATATAATGAACATTGCAAAGAATCTCTGCATCCATACTTTGAGCCACACCACAAGAAAGGTGATAATTCCTCAGTGCAAATGATACCCGAAGTAGAGAGGACTCAGGTTTTTCTTTACATTCATTTCACACATTCATGCCCCATGGAATGAAGTATCATGAAAGAAATTGCACCTTGACATTTTTTATGTCCAGGCTAGCACCAGCTTCCAGCAACAGATCCACTGCACTAGTATTTCCCGATGCTATTGCCCAATGCAGTGCAGTATTCTTTTGAACATTGTCTACGGCATTGAGAGAGGGGTTAAACTTTAAGAGAAGCCTCGTGGGTTCTGGTCTAGGTGAAAATAAAGTATAAAAGTTAACAGACAGAAAATCTTGGATATGAAGATATGAGTATCTTGGAATATGAAGAAGATATTGGATATGAAAATTTTGAACATCTTATAAAAAACACTGTTCCTCTCTGTGAAATAACAGCAGATACACAAAGCCTTGTCTCAGAACTTGCTCATCAACAGTAAATCTGAGTTTACAGTTCAGGACCTAGCTTCAGGGTTTTTCTCCAGACTGTATTATTTTACCATTTTAACAAAAACAGAGTATATACACAGGTTGTATACAGACCAGGGTTTGAGCAACCTGGACTAGTGGAAGGTGTCCCTGCCCATGGCAGGGAGTTGGAACTGGATGAGCTTTAAAGTCCCTTCCAACCCAAACCATTCTGTGATTCTACAATAGCATCTTTCTACAGTACTGCATATCAGCTTACATCTTCACATTTTATTTATTCTAAATGCAGCCACCTCTTGATTTTCATTTCTGGGAAAGCATAATAATGCTGCACACGGCTCAGCCACAAACCTAATTTTATTTTAGAAATTCATTTGACTTTCTTTGCTATATCCAATTGGCCACTTCATAACTCCTGATCTCTGAAATACTGAATATTTTAGTACAACTAAAAGGGAAAGGAATGTCAGTTTAACAAAAAAATTTCATAAAAGTCATCTCACTGCTTCCTGGGTACAATAGATTCTGATGAAGATACTTGCTACTTACCCAATGGCTTTTTGTGCTGCTAACATTAACGGTGTTTGTCCATTGAAGTCTGTGGTGTCTACGTTCTAAGTACAAGAAAAAGATAACAAGCAAATGATTACCAGGGATTTCAGGAGACAGAGTTAGATGGTCAGATTTGGAGCTATACAACTGGCTTAGCTGCACTAATAGAAAGAAAATGGAAAGAAACCAAACTGTACCAGCCAAGAAGCCAATGCTCGTTTAAACATTTTTCTCTTTGCTCTGTGAGCACTCCATGAGCATTCCCTTCCTAATACACTGAGTCTCCACTATGGAAATTTTTAAAGGACAGTCTGCACCAAGGGCATTTTTAAGGGAAGCATGTTAACCACATTTCTTGTCCTGTTTTGCACAAAGATATTATAAATAAAATGGACTTCGAAAAGCAACGTTAACCACCTTCTTTGCATGAATAGAAGTACATAACAGAATGTCCAAGTACACAAAACTGGTTTATTAAAACAACAACAAAAAAAAAGGGATTACATATCTTAAGACATAATTATTTAATCATCTAACTTGCATTACCTAATAGTATTCACAATGAAAATTTCCTTCTTCCCTGCCTCCACCCATCATTAAGTCAAAGCAGAATAACTTAAAAGAAATGTTTAATCACTTGAATTTTTTTAGTTGAAGATAGATGGGCTAAAAGTTTCCTTAAGTCTGTGATATATACCAACCATACCTACATTCTAGAAGTCAGTCACTCTACTAGACAGCTCTACGAGAAACATACTTACCAAATCTTTAAATCTTAATACTCAGTGCTTCAAAGAAAGAGTCTAGATCATGTAAAACTCTACTCTTATTTTTATTAGCAAATTATTACACTTGGAATTAATTCTGCTTATTTCAGATGTAAGCTAAGCAGACATCAACTAGAGTAGATACAATATAAAAGGGCAGAATAAACAAACATTTGTAATATAGAATTCAGACCTAGGCTGGTCATCTATTTTGCACACTTCAATTGATGGACAATTGCACAGACCATTAGCTATAAAACTGTAATTAAATAGCAAATGCTTCCTGCTGTAGATATGGCATATAGTGCTTTTTGTTCTCAGGTAAGGGCCAGTTACTTTACAGCACCACAAATCTGCATAGTCTTAACAACTCTCCTTAAACACTCTGAATTGTGTGTTATTGTGACAAGAACAGGGGAGGGTATTAAAACAAAAACCAAACACATAAAAATGATGAATAATTTAAGTTGCTCTGGACTTGTGGCACAGGGAAATTGCTGTCAAATACCTGCTTGTCATCTAGAAAATAAAGCAGTTAATTCTGAAATGTATCATACACACAGGTATGTACTCAAAGTAGAAAACAACAGTGGGACATCAACAACATACCTGGCCTTTGGATATGAGGTAAGCTACAATGGGCACATGTTGGAACAGCACTGCTAAATGAATGCTACTGAATCCTTCCCCATCAATAAGACTGGGATCTGCTCCACATTTCAACAGTAGCATGACCATAGGTAGATGTCCTTGTCTGTAATAATACATAAAATAAAACTAGAAATGACAAAAAAGACAGACATTCTAATGAAATCATTGCCTTAATAATTCTCATAGGTAGTCTGAAAAAGAAAGAATCTGTTCAGATTGTTGTGGTTTTATTAAGGAAATTACTTTTTTAAGATTAAATTTTATAGCAGAAAATTGTATTAAAAACACACCTTAATAGATCAACCTATGGCAAACCATTAATTTAGAATACAATGGTTATTCTACAGTAATTTCTCCTGTGAGCACGTCTTCCTCTGAAGAAGTATCTAACTTTGGCAGAAGACTAAGACAGGCCAGTAGAAAGTACTGATCTCCTGATATGAGAATCTGCATTCGGAGAAGTTATCCCAGAACAATTATTTAAGGCTATGTTTCTTCCCAGATGAGCAGTGCTTTTGTCCTTTTGGTCATTTAACTCAAATACTGTCCTAGAAGCTAAAGCTGAATGATTTTAAAAGTATCAATTGAACAGATGTCATCTAGAGCATATCCAGAAACAGCAGATCCAACCTGACGTTAAACATGCAAGCACCAACAGTCACCATCGCCCAGGAAGATACTGTATGCTAGGGGGTTGGAACTGGATGAAATTTAAGGTCCCTTCCAACCCAATCCATTCTATAATTTCATGTTTGTGGTTGCAGCTCTAAGAAGCCCAGGAGGAAAAGCTGATGGCACTGGGAGATAAAGGCCAAAGACCTCTCTACTGCCTCTGAACAACAAGGTGGCTTACAGTGGTCCTACTGCTATAAACTTGTGTTTCAAGTCCAGGACTTGCAACATTGAGTCTTATGAGAGCACACCAAGGTGTGGAGTGCAGAAGCTAAGAAGCGTTTAGTGCAGAAGCTAAAACGATTGAAAGCATATTAACTAAACAGGCTGCTGTCTGAGGGGAACAGTGACCACAACTTTTTCAGACTTAAACTGTGCCCTAATAAGCACCACCAGCAATCTTCAGTACCCTAACATAACAAGCTTTCTTTGCCCTAAGGCAGGACTTAGGAAGTCTGAACAGCATTGCTCCATCCCCAGGGAAACTTCAAAATGGGAGTTCAAATGACTGAAGCACAGATACTCACATAACACAACTCCGTGGCTTGCAAAGCCGCCAGGGATCAGAGAACAGATTTCAGCATGACTATGCACATGCTGCAAAATCTCTTATACCTCAATAAATTAAACCCACCACAGTGTTTGATTTACAATGACCACTTCTGTACTACACAAAATGCTACTATAACTGTTAATCCTAACAGATTTACAATAGGAGTTGAAAGCAGCATACCTAACGGCCCAATGAAGGGGAGTTGAATTCAAATCTCCACCTAGCTGATCCACTATTGCACCTTTGGAAATATAATACCTGTGTAACAGCAACATAAGATTAAGAACAGCCAAAAAAATTAAAACATGATACTAAGGATAACATAGCTCTAGTAGTAAATAGCTTATAATAAAAATTCACTTAGAGAAGCAAATGGACAAGAGAATTTTTTCAGTAAAGAATGCTGGTTTGAAAAAATGTTTAAGAACAAATACAGTCATTAGCAAGGCACTTATAAAATCAGCTTTAATCTTTGTTAAACAAACCAAACCAGGAAAATCTAATGATTTCAAGTACTACATAATTTTACATATAAAGAAACCAAGGTAATTTTACATTTGAGTGACATTCTCACAAAGGTAATTAGGTTAAAAATGTGAATTTTATGCTTTTCTTCCCAAACAACATGTTTGTTTCTTTTGAAGTAAAATAGTGACAAAGTGATTATAAACAATGGAGGCAGAATACTCATGTTACTTTCCCAAGGACTCTAGAGCTTACTTAACCAGCTCCTGTCTGTTGTTTATTGCTGCCCAGTGAAGAAGAGTCACATTTTCTTTGTCTGGTTGTCGAACATCATATCCCGCTTCTACCAATTCTTTGCATCGCTCTATCATTCCATATCTTAAATGAGAAAAAATAATTGATATACTTATCATCCATTTGTTAAGTATCCTCCAGTTTAGAGACAGCTGCATACTAAAGAAAAACAAATCTCATCAAGAATCACCAGCAGCTCCTATTTCAGCAAATTTCACATCGCATTCAATGGAAGTCTAGTGAAAAGAGTTGGCCTGAACCTTGATGAGCAGAACTTTCTACCTAACTAATACGGTTGAGATACTACTGTTTCTGATAAAAATACTTGTAACGATACTTTTAAATTATTTTCCTTCTTTCACTATGGGGAGAAAATGAAACTAAAATTTTCCTTTGCAAAAATACCCAACCTGGCTCACATTTGAGGACACTCCCATCTATTTCAATATTCTGCACACACAGAACATATACTTACTGTGTAGCCTTGACAATATCACAAATGCTGGGGTCTTCAACGACGGGATCCATTCCTGGTAGCACTGGGAGATCTTTATCCCCATGGGCACTGAGGCAGTTGTGCATATGAGGTCGATGAGGCCCGTGGCAATGGCCTTTACACTGTTGGTTAACAAAGCATCTGTCAACAAACACTTTTTATATACTGTACACCACACCTCCTTATTGCATTAATAAGAATAAGCAAGTTCATTTAAAGCACAGTTAAAGCCATCTGACAAGAGACTAGTCCTTTTATTTAGCACAGGGACATGGGAGGATGGAAGAGTGACGGTTAAGGTCCATCAGTTACAAAGGATGTCAAGCACCTTGCAGAGCTGGCTCTTGTTAAAACACCCTTACCTACAGTAATGCTGCTGTGCTAGAAATGCCAGCCTATACCTACAAGAAAGCTAGAGAGGGACTTTTTACAAGGATATCCTAGTGATAAGGTAAGGGGAAAAGGCTTTAAACTAGACGAGGAAAGATTCAGATTAGGTATTAGGAAGTTCTTCCCTGTGAGGGTGCTGAGGCACTGGCACAGGTTGCCCAGAGAAGCTGTGTCTGCCCCATCCCTGGCAGTGTTCAAGGCCAGGTTGGATGGGGCCTGGAGCAACCTGGTCTAGTGGAAGGTGTCCCTGCCCGTGGCAGGGGGTTGGGACTGGATGAGCTTTAAGGTCTATTCCAACCAAAACCATTCCGTGATCCATTGAGCAGGTTTTGAACCGCCAGAACAGTCGGCATCCAGAGGGCCCGCCGCGCACAGCGGTTCCAGGAGAGGAGCCCTCCAGGCAGAACACGGGCCTCCCCTCTCCGTCAAGGGCAAGCCGCAAGAACCCTCACGCGCCGGCGGACACCTCCCGCTCCCTCCCTGCTCGCTGTGAGGAAGCCCCCGCCCTCCTCAGCCTCGCATCTGGCTGCGAGGGCCCGCCCTGTGCCCCCAACCCCACCGGAGGGGAGCAGCCCCAGCGAAGGCTGCACATCGGCCGGGTCCGGCGCCTCTCCCTGGCTCCAACCTCCTGCACCCCGCCGACAGCCTGCCGCCGGAGCCCGAAACCGCCGGCCGGCCCCACCCGTCGCCTCACGGGGCCTCGGGGCCCTCAAGAACAAGGCAGCGAAGCCCTGGACTAACCGAGGGCAGGCCCAGCATCCCTCCCCCCCAGCACTCCCGGGGCTCCCCTCACCGCCGGGCCACCACCAGCCATCCTCGCTGTGCCCGGAGCTCCGCGCCTGCCGCAGCTTCCTGCTCCCGCTTCCTGGTTACCGGCTCCGAGGGGCGGGCCCGAGCCCTCACGGCCCAGGCAGCCGCGGTACAGACTAGCTGTGTGCCCCAGCCGGCCGCAGCAAGAAGGCTCAGCCGACAGCGGTATAGCCGCAATCCTCGCCTACAAAAGACTTCCGAAGGGTGTAACTCCCACTCACACCACCTCGTACAACAGGAGGCGCCCAGAGAACGCTTGGAAGCAGCACAGAGTTCTAAGTCGGTTTTAAAATGGGAGGAGGAGTTTGCAATCCTCCTAAAGCTTGCAAGTGTATTGACACCTGGTAATGTTATAAGCAAATATTACAGTATGAAAGGTTACCAAAAAATTATCCCAGTGTGGAGCCCACTGCCTCATTGCTAGCAGTCCAAGCACTGGTCAAAACACTGGGGGAGTGCCCAGACTCTAGTATAAGGCAGGTACAGCAGGGGCATAAGAAGTTTTATTAAGGCAATCATAAACCCATTCGCCACTGCTCTGGGGTTTGATCTTGCAACCTTTGTAACAGTCATTTGGCATGTCTGTATGTTTCTTGGCAAATGGCCACATTAACAGCTATCTTGGGAGAACTGGAAATGGCTGTTGGTTTCACGCTGTGGTCTGTAAGTCAGCTGGAAGATGCCTTTGCTCCTTGTTCTTCCTCTTCTCCCTCTTCGATCCATGGAAAATCTCAGTGTGAGCTGACAGAGATCTGAACAGGTCTGGGGGCTGTGTGCAGAGATTTCCAATCTGGTAAGCACAAACCGGGCCTGGCATTTCAGCTGTATTTGCAGCTCAGTGTTGCTGACTTGGAGAAGGGATGGTTCTTCACAATGTTCCTGAAGGAGGTCATACTGTGTTAGTGAGTTTGCCAGCTACCAAACTTTCTGTAAGGTGTGAACACCTGGCCGAGAAGGAAAATTTCAGCAGGAAACACTCAAACCACTTTTTTGTTGTTGTTTGCAAGAAATAAACAGGAACATGTCACCCCTACAGCCCTTAGGCTTGTCAAATGTCACACTGAAAACACTCACAAACCCCACCAGAATGCTGTGGAGAATGATGGGACCATGCAGAGAGCAGCTGTCAGGATGCTTTACAGTCACAAAAGCAACTTTATTTTTTTTATGACTGCTGATAGTGCTTTGCACTTTATATATACTTCAGCTGAGGTTTTAAATCGGTTTATGTATGTTTATGACGTAGGTAAATACTGCTCAGAGCACTCCTATACTTGGGTTTCATTTACTTTTCCTCATCTCTGCTGTCTGATCTTCCCATCTTTCAAGCTTCATCCTTATACCCTCCTTTATTATCTTTTGTTCCCATTTCCAATCCCCCTCTCATCCTCGTTTGTCTGAAAAGAAACAGCTACACGGGGATCCACAGTAGCTACTGAAAAGGAGAAATGGTAATATTCATGAGCACACTAAATTTATGTGGTAAGCTATTCGCTATCAAGCTCATTCCATCAGGTATTGCAAGATTATTTCTCTGGCCTGAGCTGGGCTTGCTCTGGTGGGTCATGCACTCTACCTGGCCTAAGACTCCTTCCACAACCCCACAAAGGTGCAGCACCTCCCATTCATGCTGCACATTTAGGGTTGGAATATCCTGACTTGCCTTGGTTGGATCCCCAAGTTGACTGAAGGAATAAAACTAAGTGCTTTTTCTACTCTCAGAGAAAAGTAGCAGGAATTCATTTCATGTAGTCAAGGTCTTTGAATTTATAGTTGATGGCTGATAATGCAAAAGGCAAGGTGCAGAGTCCTAGCGTGAGTAAAACTCTAAGTTGCCTTAAATGTTACCTCAAGCACTCCTGACTCACAATAAAAAAAGGCACTAAACATTTTTATAGTCACAACTGACAAGTTTTGCTCATCTGGTAGCTTAAGCCTTTCATAGTTCAAGACCATATGACATTAAAAAGAAAGGCAGGGCAGAGATACAAATGACTGTTCAATTTTCATTAATCCATATAAGATCTATAATTGTATGTTGGCTTAAGTGTTGCACAATGCTGCAGGGTTTTTAATCTGGGAGTTACCAAACTGAATCTATTTCCTGCCTAAACAAAAAAGGCTGAAGGAGTTGGCTCCTGGAGTAGCTAACTATGAATCATAGTAGCAGTATAGTTAGGGTTGGAAAGGACCTTAAGATCATCAAGTTCCAACCCCCGGCCATGGGCAGGGACGCCTCACACTAAACCATGTCACCCAAGGCTCTGTCCGACCTGGCCTTGAACAACGCCAGGAATGGAGCATTCACAGCTTCCCTGGGCAACCCATTCCAGTGCCTCACCACCCTAACAGTAAAGAACTTCCTCCTTATATCCAATCTAAACTTCCCCTGTTTAAGTTTTAACCTGTTACCCCTTGTCTTATCACTAGAGTCTCTAATGAAGAGTCTCTCCCCAGCATCCTTGTAGGCCCCCTTCAGATACTGGAAGGCTGCTATGAGGTCTCCACGCAGCCTTCTCTTCTCCAGGCTGAACAGCCCCAACTTTCTCAGCCTGTCTTCATACGGGAGGTGCTCCAGTTTCCTGATCATCCTCATGGCCCTCCTCTGCACTTGTTCCAACAGTTCCATGTCCTTTTTATGTTGAAGACACCAGAACTGCACACAATACTCCAAATGAGGTCTCACGAGAGCAGAGTAGAGGGGCAGAATCACCACCTTTGACCTGCTGGTCACACTCCTTTTGATGCAGCCCAGGATACGATTGGCCTTCTGGGCTGTGAGCACACACTGAAGCTGGCTCATGTTCATTTTCTCATCAACCAACACCCCCAAGTCCTTCTCCACAGGGCTGCTCTGAATCTCTTCTCTGCCCAACCTGTAGCTGTGCCTGGGATTGCTCAGACCCAGGTGTAGGACCTTGCACTTGGCATGGTTAAACTTCATGAGGCTGGCATCAGCCCACCTCACAAGTGTGTCAAGGTCCCTCTGGATGGCATTCCTTCCCTCCAGGGTATCAACCGAACCACACAGCTTGGCGTCATCGGCAAACTTGCTGAGGGCGCACTCAATCCCACTGTCCATGTCAGCAACGAAGATGTTGAACAAGACAGGTCCCAACACTGATACCTGAGGGACACCACTTGTTACTGGTCCCTAACTGGACATTGAGCCATTGACCACAACTCCTTGCATGCAGCCATCCAGCCAGTTCTTTATCCGTTGAATTAATCAACTCTTACGTAAGACTTTTGAACTTACAAAAATATATATAAATTCTCTGTCAAAATCTTTAACTTAACCTGCATTATAAACCATGTTTATGAACTAATAACAGAATTGCAAGAGTTACTACATTTAGTTATCTGGATTGTCCAGATAAACACAATCAAAAATTAAAATTCTTCATTTCCAGTAGTTACAAGCTCCATACTAATCACAGAAAGATACTTCACTTGTTAGTTTCAAGTTTTGCAAAGGCATGGTGAGTTTGTTTACTTCTGCATTTCTCCCTTCTCAACTAATCCCATTGCAGCTTTCACTTTCACCCAGAAGAGCCTTCCTATGGTTTAGTCTTGTAATCATTCTCTGATCCTTCTACAATACTTTAGACATACATGGCTCTTTCAACATGTACTTCTTACTTTTTTGTTTTAATTTAAGCTAAGAGGATGAAATATGTATTTAAAATTCCACTGAATTGCAAATTTGTTACATAATTAAGGGAAAAGATTAAACCAGAAAATATTTGAATAGAATAATTTAAAAAATAGTAGTTTATTTACCTATCCACTTATCATAAAGTAGGTCCGTATCTGTAACCCAAAAATCAAAAACAGCTTTCCACCCTTCTTGATTTGACACACATTTAGACTTCCTCCCCCCAACCCCCGTATGAACTGAAGCAGAAAAATACACTATTAGAGTTTCGCCTTCAACTGCACATCTCTTTCAACCTTCAATGAGGACAATGCATTATCTAAAACAACAAGTAATGCAGTGCAGCTCTAGGTTAAGCTTAGCACATGATCAGAACTTTGGTAATTTAGAGCAGCAAATATTATGTGACTGCCACTGTGAGGGAACAGCACGTAATTCAGTTGTCATTCACATAATCTGACTAAAACTGGAATTGAGCAATCCCATCTCATTATATCCTAAGCACCAAGTTGCTCAGAGACCTAGATTTAAAAAGGGAATTTACAAATTTATGAACATGTTTAAAGTCTAAATACATTATATATGTGATAGTCCTCCACTGAATGGTGTCAGCATTCTTGCAGGCTGGATAGGAATAAATTGAGCTGCAGCTTTGCATGAAGAGTTATAAATGATTAACAACCGTTACGCTGAAAGGCGGAGCTGTGATCTCAGAAATGCTATCGTATCGTGATGCCATCTAGTGACAGGAAGTTTAAATCACAGAGTAGTTTGAGTTGGAGGGGACCTTGAAGCTCATTCAGCTCCAACCCCCTGCCATGGGCAGGGACACCTTCCGCTAGAGCAGGTTGCTTCAAGCCCCGTTCAAGCAGGCCTGGAACACTGACAGGGATGGGGCAGCCACAGCTTCTCTGGGAAACCTGTGCCAGCGCCTCAGCACGCTCATAGGAAAGAGCTTCCTAAAATCTCGTCTTAATCTCCGCTCTGTCAGATTAAAGCCGTTCCCCCTTTGTCCTGTCCCTACAGGCCCTTGTCCAAAGCCCCCCCCCAGGTTTCATGTAGGTCTCCTTCAGATATGGGAAGGCATCCTCCCTCTCTCCAGGTATTGGAAGTTCCCTGCTCCCCTCCATCTGTAGATCCAATGTTAGTGATTATATAGTAGAAAATTGTCAGTTATTTTTTTCCCCTTAGGTGGATATGTGGCTCTGCCTGCTAGGCCCTGCTCAGGTAGCCATGTCTTACTTTTCTTCCTACAATAATCCAAACTACTTTGTTACTGCTCCAGGTTGTTACCAGAAGCTTTTGCTGTATTCTCCCATTAGTTACAACCCAAGTTAAACAAGTACCATTTCAGAAACACTGGCAATTCTGTATTTGAAATTCCCAACCTACTAGAGAAATAAGCTCTCAAAACTCAATAGTTGATATTGAAAGCATAGTATCAAATATTAAATATCAGGACAAAAGTTAAATCTAATACACACACCCTCAAAACAGTTCTGTTTTTTTTTTATTATAGAGGAAGCAAATTTAACAGCACTGCCATGCATACAACAAAATATGACACAGGCATCACCCTATGGGAAGTTGAGGAAGTTGATAGTAATTCAAATTATTAAGTTTTAAAGGACAACAATAATTGGATGCTGCTTAGAGTACTGGTTACATATTGCTTATAGTAGGATGAAGCTAACAGAATAGGTAAAGTGTTTTTTATGCTTCTCCAAAAATAATTTATTTGTAAGAAATACAAAACTGAACAGAATTAACACTTCCTTTTCCAGCCTGATACAGGCCCCTTTATACATATAGTACATACTTACTTGGTCTGTACTCCACAGGTAGAACAGAAAGATATCTGTATGGACAGCAGACAAATCTGAAGAAGCACAATCTGTCATCCCTACAACAAACAGGATGCGAGTTTAGCCTGGCGATGGCCTCTTGCTTGAAAAAAATGTGACTAATTGCTTCCTACTATGAGTTTAACAATCTGGCTGACAATGAGCTCTCACATGGGCAACTAGGCTATCTGCACGGTATTCTCAGCAGGAGTAGCAGTCTGCATCAGGGAGATAAGAGTGCTTATTCTGTGCTCCAATGTCAGACAGTACAGAAAGTCCTTTGATCAATATTAGATGTAACAGAAATCACCTAAAAGATGCATTTGAATGCATAAGGCTTTTATTACTCACAATAATGCCCTTCTGCTTCAATTTTCCCCAATTGAAAGTGCTGATCATTGGTCTTAAATGGGCAGTTTCTTCCACTAATAATCCAGGATTTATCAGTGATAAAAAGAGAGCATACTGTGCCACGCAAGGCTACAATGATTTCAAGTCCAGATTACCTTACAATATTTTAAGTAGCCTTGACATTAACAGCAAACTGACGGTGCAATTTCCAAGGCAACATAAGAAAAGGATACAAGTATGCGGCCTTAAAAAAGCTGAGAAAAGAAACTATCCAATAAACTCCAGCAAAGTCAAGGGCAGCCTGAAGTAATGCACTGCCAGGGACTGATGGGGTCCAACAGTCCTAGAAACCCACCCCTCAAGTTTTCCCTTCTTCTGAATTGGAGTTCTCTCAAATCAAGCATTGTGCCTTGATGAGCTGTAATGAGATTGGGCTCTATATTTTCTATAAAGGCAATTGGCATTGATTTCCTTCCCCATTTCAGTATTAAAAGTCTTCTTAATCCATAGGAGTTCAAAGTTCAAATGTTCTAACACAGCAATATATGTGTTGCCAGTGACTGCATTATTGTTACAGCCATCATTCCCTCTCTGTTATTAACAGCACCTTAATGTATTGTTATCCACAAAATTGCAATAAAACAGTTACAAGGCCTGCAGATATTACTGGTAACTAGTAGAACTCTCTCTCAGAAGGCATCTCTATAAATCCTTGTACATCCAGCTGTGAAACAAAGCCAAGCTACAACATATATTTGTTTTCTAAATTTGGGGAGGCCCTTTTTCTCCTGCCAAAACGTTCCTTCCAGAAATTACTGCAACAAAACCAACACACACTTACCAGCTTTTTCACCATGAAGATCACTGCATTTAGCAACTCCTACAAAGGAAAAAAAAATGAAAAAAAAAAACAAAACCCCACCCAACCCAGTTTACATAGTTATCCACTTACAGTAAAAACTAAACTTTTGTGTAAAAAAAAAATTTAAAAAAGAATCAAAAAAAATAATCAAGTCTTTTAGCTTGAATGTAACTACCAAGCTTGTTACTAGATAAATGATTAATAATATGATATCTCTTTATTTCTGTGGCCTTTACACATTCTTGAACCAGCTCTTGGAATTATACTCACTCTAGAGCTCCTTCTGAATCTGGTAACTTAGAAAGACAACTATGTAATAAGAAAAGAAATAGCTGAAAGGAAAGTTAGCAGTATTTTTTATTTTAATTGTCTTAAATCCAAGGATTTATTTCTTTTTTTTTTACAATTATTATTTCATACAAATGACAGTGAACAGTTTTCTATCCACACTAAAGAAATCAATGTGGCCTTACCCATGGCTGCAGCTCCTCCAGGGGTATACCTATTCTGTCATGGGCTTATCCATGGCCATATACTTTGAGGTACTCCAGTGTGACCTCATGCACAGCCACAGATACTTGGAGGTATACCTCCTCCAGTGAGGGCTTATCCTTGGGCCACAATCCCTTCAGAGGTATACCTGCTGTGGCACAACCATGGTCACAGATACTTGTAGATGTACCTGCTCTTGCATGGGCTTATCCATGGCCACGGATGCTTCAGGGCATCCTGCTCCCATGTGGATTTATCCACAGGTGACAGTCCCTTTGACTGAAGTTCACAGCGGAGTTCCAGCCCGTCCAGTAGAGCAGCACAGACACAGGAGCCATGCCTGGCCATTGCCAGCCCAGACACATGGCCATTGCTGTTATCAGACTGTTCCCAGGCACGGCACAGGAAGATAAGCACTACAGCAAGCACCGAAAGCAAAAAAGCAGCCACTAACAAGTGCTAGACTGTAATATACAGTAAAACAAGCAAGCCCCATGGCAAGCACAGAAGACTGCCAGTGAACAGCTAAACAGCAATAACACCTACAGCTTCCGTTTAGCACATTCCAGACAAATCTGTCATTATCTCAAACCCTTCAAGACCTACATTGGGCACTAAAAAGAACTGCCATGGTTTAACCACAGCAAGCAGCTAAGCCCCATATAGCCACTCACTCACTCCCCCTACCGTGGGATGGAGAACTGTAAAGGTAAAAACGAGAAAACTTGTGGTTTGAGGTAAAGGCATTTTAATAGGTAAAGCAAAAGCCACATGCTCAAACCAGAAAACCAAGAAATTCATTCATAACTTCCCATAGGAAGGCAGGTGATCAGCAATCTCCAGGGATCCATCATGCATAGTGGTTACTTGGGAAGACAAAGGCCATCATACCAAACGTGTACCCTTTCCTTCTTCCCCCAGCTTTAGATGCTGAGCATGATGTCCTATGGCGTGGGACATCCCTTGGGTCAGCCGGAGTCAGTTGTCCCGGCTGTGTCCCCTCCCAACTCCTTGTGCCTTGACTCTGTGCAAGCACTGCCCAGCATAACAGAAAGATCCCTGAATTAAAAACATTATTTTCAGCACAAATACAAAACATCACCCCATACCAGCTACTATGAAGAAAATTAACTATCTCAACCAAAATCAGCGCTGCTCAGTATCTTCACAAAGCAAGTTTGGTTTCAGTCTCAAAATAACACTCAGTTGGTCATGCACCATATTATCAGGTACCGTAAACTAAACTAACTTCTGAACTATACCAATTTATGCCAATTTTCACAAGCATTTGTATTAGATTATAACAACCTTCCCACACACCAGTTTATAAAGACCCCAGTTAACCTCTTGAAAAGCAAAAGACAATAAAACCTCCTTTGGGGGAGTTAGTGACTGTAGGTATGACCATCACAACCAACCATGTCAAACAACTTCTTTCCTACATGGATCACACAACCGTTTTCCTCCTCTTCTAAGTCACAGGAAGCTGATTCCAGGAAGAACTCTACTGTTTCTTCCAGCTTTGGGATATTTCAGGAGTCTCAATACATGAACTTTTCTTCAATTCCAAGTTAATTTTGAATAGGAGGGAAAAAAGAAAGTTCCAGGTAAAAGTCCTCTCAAAACCCAGGACATTCCAATACCTAATTTTATTTACTTTAAATACAGTCCACCTCTGCATGTTCCTTTAGTACATTAAGCATTATTATCCAGCCACCCCTTCTCCTTCAGAACAGTATGAGTGTCCTTCACAAAGTGTTTTTGTTAGTTTAACAATGTGGATAAACTCTCTTCGCCTCCAGAAAGTCTTTCTTATCTGTCCCTTGGTTTCTGTGTTAGCTTTAAAACACTCCTGGTAGGAGCCGGTAAGGGACCACTGCAGTGTAGCGCTTCCAGTCCTTCCCATATTTGCTGAGACAACGGTGTTCATCCCTAATGCACCGGTGGGTTAGCAGAATAGTCATATAAACTATGTAGAAGTAAGGCAAGATGTGCTCAAAGCCACAAGCCAGGCAGTAGGCCAGGGAACCCATTAGGTCACCTGTGTAGTTAAAATGACGTGCCCACCCCCAGAATCCTGAGGTCATTAGCTTGCTGTAGTACTTGGTGCCTTCTACAGACATGTAGGAGCACTCTATGTACTCTGGTTTCTTCCCCCATATCTTGCAGTTGCCATTGGTACGACGGAAAAGGTCCTTCTGGTGGTTGGTCATTCTGAAGATGTAATAGCCAATGAAGCCCAGTATCAAGATGCCTATGGCATTGGCTGTGCCCAGCTGGACAGGGTAGTAAACCAGATACAAGCCCTGGGGGGAATGAAAAGAAACAATTAGTGATTTACCTTAAATATATGCTCCCATATATGAATTTGTGTTAAAATATGAACCAATACACACCAAAAAAAACCCTCAACATGCTGGAGTGCAAAAAGGAATTAAAAGGATTTAGAAAAATATATAGACACAAGACAGTGATAGAAGAAAACACTGAAGGAGGGGAGAGGAAAAGATATCAAGTCCATACAAGCACAGTAAGCCTTCCTACAAGTGCATGATTACAAAGGATGTTGTAATGGTTACATTCAAACATTCAAACTGTCTAGAAACAGTTGAAGATACAAATCATACTGTCAAGGAGAATGTTTCTGGAAAGTTTCTTTCCTTTTAGCCCCAACACATATTGTACCATGTTTTTACCTGCAAAGTATAGAGGTAAGGCAACCAAACACAGTCTCCCCAGCCCAAATACCATCCAAAATGATCGTGGCAGATATCAATGGTTTTCAAATACCAGGCTTCATTCCAGAAGAAGTCCAAAACATAAATACCCTGAAACGGACCAACAACATTATTCACATTAATAATAGAGCACAGTCACCAATTATCCTGTTTAACAGCATCAGCCTCATCTTTCTGTGCTGTCTTGTGATAAGAGCGTAAAACTGACTTTTTTTTTTATGTTAACACCTCAAAAATAGGGTAGTAAGAGGAACACATCACACAAATATACTCCATCCAGATGGATAAAGCAATAATAAATCATGCAAAGCAATATTAACCAAGATGACTAAGGAATTCAGGAAGTTCTTTACTGTGAGGGTGGTGAAGCACTGGTACAGGTTGCCCAAAGAAGTGGTAATTACTCCATCCCTGGCAGTGTTCAAAGCCAGATTGGATGCAGCTATGGGTGACATGGTCTAGTGCGAGGCATCACTGCCCATGGCAGGGGGGTTGGAACTAGATGATCTTAAGCATTCTATGATTAAGACAAGTGTGCTACATAAGGGCACAGACTTCAGAAGTATACTCGCACTTGATCACCCATACCTCTCTTCAACTTGCAAGAGCCTTATGCTTTCAGAGAGGGGAAACAGAGATCCCATTGAGTGGGATTTTATTTACACTTATCAATGGATAAATAACAAACTATTACATGTACTTTGGACTTTTGGGTCTCTTCAGTATAGAGCATAGCACCAGACTGGCTGTTTTTAGGTGTAGAGACATGTCTAGTTCTGCATGTCTCACACATACACACACAAAAAAAAACCAAAACAAACCACCAATTTAGGTGCAGTGCTGCCCCCAGTAAAAAAACCTGTCCAATTTAGCTCCAACTAAAGCCATAGAATTTGTGATTGTTCTCTTTGGATTCAAGATCACGCTATGCCTGTTTCCAGAACATAGGATCAGAGAAGCATTTCTTAAGTTCACACTGAAATCTGCTGGTACAGGTATGACCATGCCAGTACTGGCACTGCATGAATACAGCAGAGTATTTACACTGGCACTCTGAATGAACACAAGTGTCCAAAAAATCAGATTCCAGTGCATGTTCTCTGAAAGAGGTGGTTTGGGCAAGGAAAAAAAAATTCAATTTCAATACAATTTTTTTTTTTCTAGTTTAATAAAAATAGTTTATTTCTAAATTCTTACTTTGCTGCTCTGAATTTACCTGAAGAACGTTGACAAGGATCATGGAGTTAGTTACTTGGCCATACAGCTCCTGTTGTTTTGCAGCATAGGAAAGGTTAATTAGAGTCCAAGCTACAATACCAGGGCGCCCATTGAAGAAGAGCTTGAAATCAAACCACTTTCCTATTCGAGGGTTGAATTCAATCCCCATCATGTAGTCATAAAAGAAGTTGCCAGTGAATTTGCTAGAAAGCATAAAAAATTGGAAATATATGCTGTTACATACAAATACTATTCTAACTACACATTTCAGATTTACTTGCTGTAATGATAATAAAACTGTAAAACCATACAGTGCTGTGCAAGACAACACAAACTGACTCAACCAAAGCATTCCATTAGCAGAGAGAAATTTTACCTTCAGAGATACCCTAGTTTTTTTCTTGGTAACATTTTTGAACAGTTTAACTACAACCTTCCCTATTTGTCACAAATAGGATTTATCTGTGACACTGAGGCTACCAGTCACATGATATGTAGCATGAAACAGAGGAAGGTGCTAATGAAGCAAAACACCACTCATATATTGGCCTATTTGTGCCAGTAAAATATATTCTATTGCTATTCAGTGCAGCATTCAATTTATATGTCCTATTGTTACAAATTACATACCAGTCTTTTGGATTGGTAGGGAAAAGGTAGCCTTTAATCATTGCAAATGTAGAAACTGCATATCCCAGGATATTGGCACACCACATGAGAGGAATCCAGTTGTCAAAAATGATGGTAGGGGAGAAGTAGTGGAAGTAATAGGCATTTGCAAACCAAAGCATGTGGGTAAAGATCCAAGCCTGAAGTCCATTTATTTCATATTTATTCACTATGCCTAAAATATGAAGAAAATGAGTGTTTAGTGGCATTGCATTAATACAGCTTTTTATTTTAGACATATGCATACAATATATAGAAGCTTAATCAAGTACTATGACCTTACTCTCCTCAGCCTCCCAATTAAATATCTTGAGATACTTACCTGAAAGTTTCATTAGACTCCACTGTAACCATCAGGCTCTGCTAGGCTGAGTTTTTTCTCTTCAAGCAGTCAAGTTACTGTCTCCCTTAAAATTGCCTAAGGTATGAAGTTACCCTTTCACATGCGAAGTTCACATCACACATTTTGTTCAAGTCCCATGGGTTAACTTCATTGTCAAATACCAGCAGTAGTCCACTGCTGATTCTAAGTGCCAAAACTACCAGCCTGTATTCTTCCATTGCTGGTGCAGTGCCTGCCACATCATTAGTTTTACTAACAGCATGAAATGGAAATTCTATAACTTATCCTAAAAGATGACATAGATTGCTTTTTATTTTCCTTTGTAGCGAACATGAGGAAGGTGAAAGCATTTATGGCCATGTTTCCTTCAGCTCCACATGGGTTATAAAGAGTAAGTACAGAAATATTATCATTTTAAAAGATTGTATGGTTGGCAGGTATTTTAAGAAAGAACTTACCAGCAGGGGTGACAGCACCTTCTTGTACACCTCCTACATATCCAGGAAGAAATTTATGGCAAAAGTCAGGAAGGCATATATACAAAACCACCTAGAAGAAGGAGAACGTATTAACAGAAAAACAAGACAAGATAAAACCCCCCAAACCACTGCCCTTTTCACGTACATACCAAATATAACACATGGCAGCTTCAAATAAGGATTGGATAAGCAAATACAGCACAATTTTGCTGTTTAGTTATTAAACAGATCTAAAGATGTACTTCATGTATAGCTGGCATCCCTTTTTTGGTGGGGAGGCAGGACACTTGGTAACTAGATTCCTTATCCTTTTACTTTGAAGTTTATCTGTATTATAAGTAAGTAGTTCTCCAATTTGGGGAAAAAAAAAAGTAGTGATATGGTTAAGTTTGAAGATATTTTACAAATATATGTAATGTCAGCGTTCTTTCACAGCCTGTCTGTAGAAAATATCACCCCTTCTGCAGTGTCAGTTTATGATTATTTATTGTGTATTAATTTAAGACAAATGGGTATTGGTCACATATAGTTGCTTTTTCTTAAAAACCACATCAAGGTTTTATCACACGAGGAATATTTGTGTATATTCCCTACATATTTATTTTTTAAATGCATAAGTGGCATTTGGATTCCAAAAAGCCATGGCACACAAGAAACACAGAAAAAGTAGATGTCACTGTGACATTCCATTATCCGTCATGTAAAAGGATTCATCAAGCAGCTGTTTGAAGAAACAGCCACTACATTTAGATTTTAACTCAATAACATACCTGGAAAGTGACCCAAAGGGCATAGATGCCAGCAGCCCTATAGGTCAGCATAGGAGTCTTGTTCCAGATGTCAGACAGATGTTTATTCCCCGTTAGCAAGTCAATGAGTGGATTCATCAGAGAGCACTGGTACTGGTCACAGGACATTATGAAGTAATACACGATAAGTGGTGCAAACATAAGCAGGAAAAGGACGCTTGCCAAGGAAAACCAGTCCACCTCCCTGTAATCCAAAATGGAGAAGTTTTTACCCCCTCAGTTTTCAGTTAGAACAGGGGTTTGATGAAGTCAGGCAATATTTTCAGTGGACCTCCTCAACTAACTGGATGAAAACTGAAAATGTTTTAAGGGCACTTATATTTCTTTGGGTCAAATAGGGCGTTACATACTTTACCACAATCTGTTATAAAACTATGCTAGTTGATCAGAGCAACAGAACAGATAATATCTCCTCCCCAAAAAGCAGATTATTATTACAACCTTCAATCAAATCACATACGATTACCTATGATATGGCAATCATAGGTACAACTTGTTACCACTCCCAGCGGAATACCAGAATATTGTGCAAAGCTTCGAAACACAGAAGAGACACACCTTGGGCAGCCATGAGTTGTACTTGTTCTACCACACACTGTAGCGGCAACCCATATAAACACCCATGGCTGTTTCCAGCTGCAACGCAGTACTAACACTTGCACAACTCCTCGAGAACAAGGATACCAGTCATAAGTCTTGCTGCAGCACAAGATGTCAGCTGGCAACATCACAGATGGATGCCTGTTCTTCAAATCTCAGGAAAATTGAGGTTAAAGTTCTAGACTTAAAGGAACTAGAAGTTTGACTGATTTTTATGATCTGCTTTTTTGCAGGGATGACCCAAGCCATCTGGCAAGCTGTCTGTCCTAAAAATCTTCAAGGACTCTTCTTTGGCATCTGTTACTACAGCTTATTATTTATGAGCTTTCAAGAGGAGGGCAATGCAACAACCTGTTATTAATAGAGTTAAGTTTAAAAGGAATATAGCATCTATAGGAGTGTGAACCAATTTGAGATACAATGACTAATTAGAGTCATCAGCTTCTCTCACCATGCTCTTCCCCACTGGACTTGAGATGTTTGAGTATTATTTTGGGTACTTTTGTATTTTCTTTCTTCAGAAGGTTTTTTCTCCTGCTGGGCTCCCATGATGTCCTGTATGAAAGAAAATATTCATGGTATTACTCCAGTTGGTTCTCAGTAATTCTTATGGCTCTACAGAAGAGAAACACAAATAGAAGTTATTAAAAAATATCATGTAGCCTTCTGACTACAAGAAATTTGGGCGAAGAGGGTAGGAAGGAAAAAAAATCCTTCCTACTTCCTTACGATCTGATATTCACCAAAACATAATCAGAACACTGATTAACACCATTAAATGTCTTCCTAGCAGGAAATTTATTTTAAGATATATTGTATAAGAGCTGGCTTATTACTTACCTGTGAGATGCAAAGAGGAAAAAAAACCTGGTTTGCCATATGCTTACAAAGCTCTGAAAATAACCATCTGTAACTAACTGCCTTTCTTAATTAGAAAAATTCTTACTGTTGCAACATTACCCATACTGGACCTTGGCATATTATGTACTTTTCCCCAGACCCCTTGCTCCATACCTGTCAGCTACATCACAGAAAACAAGACAGCAGCTTATAATCCCATCTAAATCGAAAATCAGTGGCAATGGAAAAGGACTTACAAGGCCAGAACTAATTCTCGCTGTGGAACATGCATTACAGCTTTCTTTTGCATTGCCCACATACTTCTGTTGTTAAAAATCATTGTCCCATAACGAAATATTTGGTAACCCCCCTCCAGCAAAAAAAAAAAAAAGGTCTTGTGGGACAAGACAGACTCTAAGACACAAGGAGAGCTGTAGTTTGCCATTGAGGGGGCATTTGCCAAGCTGTTAGTTTTGTACCTTTTTGGGCTTTAATATTTCAACTCAAACCAGAAACCAGCAGTTACTTCCATTGAAACAGAAATTATAATATAACACAACACTGGCAGTGCCCTGAGCACACTAACAGGCCTTACTGTCCCTGACCAGCCTGGCCCAGGGCCTCCCCTTACCCATTTCAGCCCACCCCAGGGCCATCAATCCCTGCCCCAGTGATAACACAAGAGTACTGGTCTCCAGCTCCACCAGAGCCCTGCCTAACCACGGGTCCTGCTGATGTCCCACGGCCTGATGTCCTGGCCCAGTCTCATTCCCATGGTCCTGTCTGGCCATTCTGGGTCCCTGTCTGACACTGCTTTTCCTCCCTAGGCCTGACCCTCCCCCCTGTGCTGATGGGCCCTTGCCTGGCCTTGGCCTGGCCTAATCGCCACAGGACTGCCTGGCAACCAGGGGACCAGACCCTGACCTATAGACCCGCTGTTTCACCATGAACCTACCTGACTATCTGGATTCTTGGTTGAACCTGGCCATAATCTCTGGGTCTTTGCTGCTCACCTCAAGGAGTTACTATGGGATGGACTGACAGGCAACCCCCTGCCTACAGCTGTGTTATCCCCAATGAGCTCCCAGACCCCTAGGGAGCAGCATTTCACGTTAAGATAAAGTAAGGACTCAAACAGGATCAGGCCAGCTGCAGGGATAATGCACTACACTCAGATTAAAACTACGTGGTATGTTACTCTGCAGCGATCTCCTCCACACATTTCAACAGAAGTGCTTATTTTCAGAAACAATCTAAAGATAACATTGCCAACCTGGTCAGACAGAAATCCTAATCAAATAATGCAAGAAGATACATGGGTGGCAAGAAGCCTATGTTACTTACTACAGTTATTTACTATTTCAGTTATTGTAAGTGCTACCACCCTATCCTTCAGCAGAAACATTCCAAAATACAGTCAAACTTTTGCTTCACTTTGAGCCAGAAGTCTACATCTTCCTCAGCATCAATACTTTCACGACAAGATTTTTCAAGCAAGCAATGAAACAACCTCTAGAGGAGGTTATTGATCATGTACAAGAAACGGGAATGACAGGAGAATAATCATATCAAGATTGCAGTGTGAGCTTACTCCAGTTATTTGTGCTGGTTTTGCTTTATAACAGTAGTCCAAATTCTTACAATAAGCAATTAGAATACTAATAAAGATTTTACCAAGATAGAAAGGCTCTTACTCGGGAATTATCAGAGCTGGAAATATTTGGTTCAGATGAAACCTTTGACATCATTTAGTCCTCACTGAGAGCAAGGACAACTTACAACAGGTTGCTCAGCACCTTGCCTGGTTAGATTTTGAGTATTTTCAAAGATCCCACGACTTGTCAGTCCTACTGAGAAAGAGCAGGCCTCTTTTCTAAGAGGCCCAGAAAAGAAATCCTAGGTTGAGAATTTCCAGAGTGTTTAGGCTTGTAGTAGCCGAATAGCCCAGCTACTTTGCTGAGCTCAGCATACTCTATGTGAGAGCTGTGCCTAGCCTGCTGAGCACGCGTAAAAAGCCTGCCTGCAGCAGGCAGGCACGTGGCATTTGGTGCTACACCATTCTGTGTAATGATAATGATGTGTGTATCATTAATCCTATCAGACAACACAAAGACAGGATAATCACCAGATTACTAGTACTGAGAACGAGCTACATGAGAAGTGCTGGCATTTGTTCCCACAACCTGCAGTTCTTCATAGACTGCTCCAGTGTGGGTTCCCTGCATGGTCACCAGTCCTGCCAGCAAACCTGCTCTGGCATGGGCTTCTCTCTCCATGCGGCCACAGGTTCTGCCAGGAGCTTGCTCCAGTGTACAGAGCAGTTCCCATGAGGTCACAGCCTCCTTCAGGCATCACCCTGTTAGTCCCTGGGTTCCTCCCCAGGCCGTAGGTAGATATCTGCTCCACTGTTGGCCCACGTGGGGGCCTAGCTCACCATGGTCTGCAGGGGAATCTCTGCTCTGGTGCTTGGAGCACCTCGTCCCACCTTCTGTGCTGACCTTGGGGTCTGCCAAGTTGTTTCTCTCACACATTCTCACTCCTCTCTCCAGCTGAAATTTTATAGTTTGGCTTTCCCCTTCCCCCCTTCTTGAATGTTATCCCAGAAGTGCTACCACTGTCACTAATGGGCTCACCCTTGGTCAGTCCATCTTGGAGCTGGCTGGCATCAGCACGCAAACCCAATACATTTAACCAGCTTCTTAGCAAGAGCATGAAACAAAATTCGCAATTAATGTATCACCTGCACAGAGAGCTCCAGAGATGCACTCTTCCCCAGAGTCCAAACCTCAGGGCTTAACAATGAAGTACTGCATTACTGCTCACATTGTGTTAAACTAGTAATCACGGCAACCACACAATTCACTTGGAAGCTTTCCCCATTTGGTGCCTAAGCTGCAGATCTAACATACAATTCACAAAGTAAATGTCACATGAAGCCCTTGCAAACAATAATACACGTGGTTGATGCTTTTAATCAGCATGCTCTAAAATCACTGAAGGAAACCTTGATGAGGAAGCATGGCAAAACCCCACATTTTGTCCTACAAAACCAAGGCAGACTCCTGTTTAAGAATATGTATTTTCAAGAAAAGTCCCTTGCCAACATGCGATATGCCACATAGCCCCGCGCTTTACATAGAAGATCAGAGCAGCAGGCTGCTCGGGGCAGGGGGGCTCAGCACGCTCACATAGGCAGTAAGGCAGCACCTTTCCACACACCAGGCCCTTCATGAGACACCGGCGCTATTACTGGGAAGGGGTCGCACGTTAAGAACACCCTCCGGAGTCAGGGAGCACTTAGTGAGCTCCGTACCTCCCCTCGCCAAGAACCGGCAGGTACGCACCCACGGGCGAGCTCACCAGCCCAGCGGACACTACCCACTTCCCGAAAACGGTGCGGGAGCAACTTACCGGTGCAGCTCAGCACAGCCCGGCCGGCCGGCCAGCCGGCACCACGTTTCCTATTACACCACCAGGCTCAGCTCAGCGCATCTCACCTGAGCCGCCACCCACGGCCGTCCAGCTCTCCTCAGGGAAGCCCCGCCCCCGCCCCGCCGCTCTGACCAATCCCCGCCGCGCTCCTCCTCCCTCCACGCCACCCCATTGGTGGAGGGCGCTCAACCCATGGTCCGAGGGGATGGAGTGGGCGTCGCGGCGGGGTGCTGACTTCACCGCCCCGCCCCGGAAGCGGCGGGGTCGCCATGGGCAGAGCAGTGACAGTAGCCGCGTGCGCCCTCAATCAGTGGGCCCTCGATTTTGAGGGCAACCTGAAGAGGATCGTCAGAAGTGAGTGTGTGTGCGCCCATCCGCTCACGCGTTCCTTGTCGGGGCGGTAGCGGAAGCAGTGTCTGGTTTATGCCGTCCGGTTCCCGGAGGCGCGGGAGCTGTGGGTGGTGCTGAGTGGGGTGATGTGGTGCCCCCGGCTGGCGTTTGATCCAAGCTTCTTCCAGGTATTGGCATCGCAAAGAGCAGTGGAGCCCGCTACCGGCTCGGTCCGGAGCTGGAGATCTGGTAAGATTGCCTGGTTGGGTCTGGGTTCGGTTCACTCTCAGTTGATGACTGAAGGTCCATCACTAAGAAAATGAGCCGTACCATTGGTCTTTCTATCGCCCGAGATGTTGCTTAGGGCACACGGCTGTCACTGCAAAGAAAACCAAGGTAGCTGAAAGCGCAACATTGGTTCTCTTTTCTTGGAAACGTGGCTGGTACCAACCACTTCTGTTTGACCTCTCTAGCGAGTCTTCCTCCACAGAAACCGTAGTGCTCTGAATTCCACCCAGGCTACTGCTCTGGGAAGGAATATCTCAGCAATGCCATGGAGTTTTAAATGCTGTCAGCAGGGACAGTGTTGGTAGTGCTGCTTCTTCCTGTTCCACATAAATTCCCTGTGTGGATGAGATGTACCTTGCTTGAGGAAGTCCTGGTCCCTTGGTTCCGGTGATGTTTTGGCTTATTTTATCTCTTTTTAAATGCAGTGGTTATGGGTGCTTGGATCACTACTATGAGTCTGACACACTCCTGCATTCATTTCAAGTTCTGGCAAAACTTTTGGAGTCTCCAGCTACCCAAGATATTATCTGCGATGTGGGAATGTAAGTTTGGTTGTGTACATGTCGTCAAGGGTTAGGTCTTTGGGGAGCGCTGCCTCTGCTGTGTGTCTGGATGCTGAGGGCTCTGCACCAAATGTTTAAATATCTTGGGACCAGCACTACTTTCCCTTATAAATACCATGACTAGGTATAAATACATGACTAGGACTGCATCAGGCAAAACACTATTTGAAGGATGATCCTTTGAAAGATTTCTGGTGGTAGAGCCCTTCAAGAGACAAGTAGAACCCTAATGCCATGGGTAGAACTCTGTACTACATATAACGCAAAGGTCTTATTAATTGATTCTCCTTCAGGAATATAAGAGCTAACATAGCTGGCTTTGACTGGCAGACATCTTTAGCATCAATGTATGTCAGAATGGCTGAAACTCTTGCAAGTCACATGCTGACAGTGAAGAGTGATGAATTATAATTATAGTTATCATGTAAAGACCTGCTTGTTAATATTAATACAAACACGTAAAGCTAGCTTTATTTCAAACTAGCCTGGTACTATCATAGGTAGTCAGGTTTGATTAAATCATAGAATCCCAGAATAGTTTGTGTTGGAAGGGACTTTAAAGCTCATGCAGTTCCAACCCCCTGCCATGGGCAGGGACACCTTCCACTAGACCAGGTTGCTCCAAGCCCCATCCAGCCTGGCCTTGAACACTGCCAGGGATGGGGCAGCCACAGCTTCTCTGGGCACCCTGTGCCAGTGCCTCACCAGCCTCACAGGGAAGAACTTCCTAAAATCTCATCTCTCAGTCTCCTCTCTTCTAGTTTAAAGCCCAAATTAGCCCAGCGAGGGGGTTCTGCCTTCTCACACAGAGGGGGATGGCTTGAGACAGCCCCTGCCCTGTAGCTGTTGCGCAGAGGTAGGGGACCAAAAAGATGACGAGTGTTGGAAGCGAGTTCCAGTTCGGCGTCGTGGGAAACCCTCCCCCCTTCCTGCCCTGCTTCCCCAGGTGTCCCTCCGTAATAGGTTTGAGGCCCTGGATCTTGAAGGAGAGGTAGGTGAGAATGTGGTGCAAGGCCAGCCTACAAGGCCACATAGGAAAAGGTGGTCGACTTCGCACCTCAAGACTGCCTCTGATAAGAAAGAAAGAAGGGTCATTGTAGTAGGCGATTCCCTTCTGAGAGGAACAGAGGGCCTGATATGCAGAGTTGACCCTCATCATAGGGAAGCGTGTAGTCTGCCTGGAGCCCGGATCAGGGATATCACTAGGGCGCTCCCCAACCTGATGTACCCGACAGACTGCTACCCGCTGCTGGTCTTCAAGACAGGTGAGGGGGAAGCTGCTTCCCGCAGTCTGAGGGGGATGAAGAAAGACTACAGGGCCTTGGGGCGGATGGTGAAAGAGTCTGGGGCTCAAGTGATCTTCTCCTCACTCCTTCCATCTTCCACGGATGATGTGGGACGGAATGGGAAAATTCAGTTCATAAACGATTGGCTTCGAGACTGGTGCTACAGGCAGGGCTTTGGATTCTTTGATAACGGCTGGTTTTATAGGGCACCAGTCTGGACAATGACAAGTGGGAAAGGTTTATCTCACAGAGGCAAAAGGACGCTGGGGCACGAATTAGCAGGACTCATTTGGAGAGCTTTAAACTAGATTCGAAAGGGGGATGGGGTTGTAACTGGGCTTGCCCCAGTGGGGCAGCACTCCAGAATTGATGAAGACTGGGAGGCCTCCTATAATCCTAGGGTGAAATCGGTGTGCTCAGCTCGCTCCCCAGAATGTCTGTACACCAATGTGCGCAGCATGGGAAATAAGCAGGAGGAGTTGGAAACCTGTGTTAAGTCAGGAGACTATGATCTGGTGGCAATAACAGAGACGTGGTGGGACAGCTCACATGACTGGAATATAGTCATGGAGGACTATGTCCTTTTCAGGAAAGACAGGCCAGCCAGGAAGGGTGGTGCGGCTGCTCTTTATGTGCGAGAGCAGCTACAATGCACTGAGTTCTGTCCAGGGACAGATGATGAACGAGTTGAGAGTCTGTGGGTGAGAATTAAGGGGCAGGCTGGCAGGGGCGATACTGTTGTGGGTGTCTGTTACAGACCACCAGATCAGGGTGAGGAAGTTGACGAGGCCTTCTGCAGGCAGCTGAGAGCGGCCTCACAGTCACAGGCCGTGGTCGTCGTGGGGGATTTTAACTTCCCTGATGTTTGCTGGAAGGACCACTCAGCAACCCAGCCACAGTCCAGGAGGTTCCTCCAGTGTATGGATGATAACTTCCTCCTGCAAATGGTGGATGAGCCGACCAGGCGAGGAGCGCTGCTGGATCTCATCCTCACTAACAAGGAGGATCTGGTCGAAGCAATAAGGGTTGAGGGCTACCTTGGTTGCAGCGACCACGAGATGGTGGAGTTCAGGATCTTGTGTGGTAGGACCAGTAGAATAGCAAGTAGAATTGCAACCCTGGACTTTAGCAGGGCAAACTTTGGCCTTTTCAAGCAATTGCTAGGGGAAATCCCATGGGCAAGGATGTTTGAAGGTAAAGGGGCCCAAGATAGTTGGTTGGCATTCAAGGATTGCTTTTTCCGAGCTCAAGATCGGAGCATCCCGACACGTAGGAAGTCAAGGAAGAGGGCCAGGAGACCTGTGCGGCTAAATAGGGAATTGCTGGGTATGCTCAAGTGGAAGAGGAGAGTTTACAGGTCATGGAAGGAGGGGCTGGCCACTTGGGAGGAATATAAGGCTGCTGCTAGAGGATGTGGGAAGGCAGCTAGGATGACTAAGGCCTCCTTAGAATTAAACCTGGCGAGAAGGGTCAAGGACAGCAAAAAGAGCTTTTTCAAATACATGGCAGATAAAACTAACACCAGAGGCAATGTAGGCCCACTGATGAACGGGATGGGTGCCCTGGTGACAGAAGATACAGAGATGGCAGAGTTCTTCTTTGTCTTCTGTCTACTCTGCTGCAGGCAGTCCTGAAGAGCCCTGTACCCCTGAGACCTTAGATGAAGTCAGGTCAACGGAGCGGTTTGCCTTAGTCGATGAGGAATGGGTTAGAGACCAGTTGAGCAATCTGGACATCCATAAATCCATGGGTCCAGATGGGATGCACCTGCAGGTGCTGAGGGAACTGACGGAAGTCATTGCTAGACCACTCTCCATCATCTTTACCAAGTCTTGGGAAACGGGAGAGGTGCCTGAGGACTGGAGGAAAGCAAATGTCACTCCAGTCTTCAAAAAGGGCAAGAAGGAGGGCCCGGGTAACTATAGACCGGTCAGCCTCACCTCCATCCCTGGGAAAGTGACGGAACACCTTATCCTTGGTGCCATCTTAAGGCATATCAAGGATAAGAGGGTTATGAGGGGCAGTCAACATGGCTTCACCAAGGGGAAATCATGCTTGACCAATCTCTTAGCCTTTAATGAGGAAATAACATGGTGGATGGATGATGGCAGAGCGGTGGATGTGGTCTACCATGACTTCAGCAAAGCATTTGACAGAGTTTCCCACAGCATCCTCACAGCTAAATTGAGGAAGTGTGGTCTGGATGATCAGGTAGTGAGGTGGACTGCGAACTGGCTGAAGGAGAGAAGCCAGAGAGTTGTAGTCTATGGGGCTGAGTCTAGTTGGAGGCCTGTGACTAGTGGAGTGCCTCAAGGGTCAGTACTGGGACCAGTATTATTTAATATATTCATCAACGATTTAGATGAGGGAATTGAGTGTACTATCAGCAAGTTTGCTGATGACACTAAGCTGGGAGGAGTGGCTGACACACCAGAAGGCTGTGCTGCCATCCAGCGAGACCTGGACAGGCTGGAGAGTTGGGCAGGGAATAACTTGATGAAATATAACAAGGGAAAGTGTAGAGTCCTGCATCTGGGCAGGAACAACCCCAGGTTCCAGTATAGGTTGGGGAACGACCTGTTAGAGAGCAGTGTAGGGGAGAGGGGGTGTATTAGAAGGGGGGTGGTTAGTAGGTCGAGAGAGGTCCTCCTTCCCCTCTACCCTGCCCTGGTGAGACCGCATCTGGAATATTGTGTCCAGTTCTGGGCCCCTCGGTTCAAGAAGGACAGGGATCTGCTGGAGAGAGTCCAGTGGAGGGCAATGAAGATGATTAAGGGAGTGGAGCATCTCCCTTATGAGGAAAGACTGAGGGAGCTGGGTCTCTATAGGAGAAGAGGAGACTGAGGGGTGACCTTATAAGTGTCTTTAAATATATAAAGGGGGAGTGTCACGAGGATGGAGCCAGGCTCTACTCAGTGGCAAACAATGATAGGACAAGGGGTAATGGGTACAAACTGGAACACAAGAGGTTCCACTTAAACTTGAGAAGAAGCTTCTTCTCAGTGAGGGTGACGGAACACTGGAACAGGCTGCCCAGGGAGGTTGTGGAGTCTCCTTCCCTGGAGATGTTCAAAACCCGCCTGGACGCATTCCTGTGTAACATTATCTAGGTGTTCCTGCTCCGGCAGGGGGATTGGACTAGATGATCTTTTGACGTCCCTTCCAATCTCTAGCATACTGTGATACTGTGATTCTTCTGGTCTGCTTGTTCCTGGTGCTGGAAGCAGTAGTAATCTGGTGGTAGCTGATATGTTTGAGACTGACTGAAAGGTTGTAACTCTGATTTTTGCAAACAGCTGTTTGAGTTAAGGAATTAAAAGCTAAAATTCAGTATCTTGTTTTGTTTAATTCCCTTTTGTGACTTAGTGTAGGAGTCCTGTCTTAAAAAGAGGTTTTGTTCGGTGAAATAGATTCCGTGGCTTATTTAGATTTTGTTTAATGAGGTCAGCTGCTGGTAATATTGCTTCTTATTTTCACAGGCCTGTTCTGCACAGAAATGTTCGCTACAATTGTCGAGTGATCTTTTTAAATAAGTAAGTTTTGTGAGACAATACATTAGTATATAATCTCAGAGACTTGTGTGGCCTTCAAGAAAGATTCTTCAGTTCTATGTAGAGTGATAGAGCTGTCTTCCTACCTGCTACATTTTAGAGAGACAGCTAATGTTTTCCCTTATCTCTTTTTTCCTTTCTGAATTTGTGGAAATGTTCACTGTTCTCTGAAAGATTCCAGTAACAAAACAAACCCATTACCTCTGCAAACGGAAGCTTTAAAAATTACTGTATGTGGTAGTTGTTTAATGTAAATAATAATAATACTACTAAAAAGAGTTGGTATTAATGTTCTATTTTGTTTTACTGTACATCAGGTCTTAACTCACCCTTTCTATTTTGTTTTATGTTGTAAGAAAAATTCTTCTGATTAGACCAAAAATATCATTGGCAAATACAGGAAACTACAGGGAACTTCGATGGTTTACCCCGTGGACCAAAACAAGGTAGGCTGGCTAGCATTAAAATGGTGTTTAAAACCACAGCTTGCTGCTTGCAGCCCCAGCAGGAGGACTGAAATCTCTATAGCAATGATGAGTGCTGCTGCAGGGTGAGCAGCAGGGCAGAGTCAGCACAGCTGCATAATTGAAGGTCAGTTAGAAAACTTAAGTGCAGTGAAACTCTTTTGTTGCTGAGCTGGAAGGAAGCATTTTCTTTCTGTTTACTTTTAACTATACGTAGTTTGGGATTGGAAGAGCCTGTGTTTATCTGCTCAATTGCTGCATCCTCTTCAATATCAATTAAACTGGAAAGCAACGTGAAATGGATTAGCTCTGTCAGAATCTTAAATGACTGCAGTGGATGAAAGCTGCATACCTTGGGATACTCCAAAATACGCTTGATGCTTGTCTCTGATGCTGTGCACTTATCCTGTAGTCCAGAGAATGGTTTTAACATGATTGTGTTGGTGAAGTACTTCTGAGAGAGCCCCAGAACATCTGTCCTCTTGACCTTAGGCAATTCCAGATGAATTCTGAGTTATGCATGTAGTAATACTGCAAAACCAGAAATGTTTATTTGGTGTTTGACTTGCAGAGAGAAGCTGTGGCTGCCCCATCCCTGGCAGTGTTAAGGCCAGGTTGCATGGGGCTTGGAGCAGCCTGCTGTAGTGCAAGGTGTCCCTGGCCATGGCAGGGGGTTGGAACTGGGTGAGCTTAAAGGTCCCTTCCAACCCAAACCATTCTGGGATTTTATGATTCTATGGTACAACTGATTCTTTGTTAGGTCTAGTTTATAGTTAGGATGCAGTAGTGTTTACCATGCATTTCTGAAGCAAAGTGGGATGTTGCTATCTTATAATCTTAATATTTCTGATTAATCTCACAGTATGAATTTATTTTTTTTTTTACTTTTAAACATACATGGCTCTGTAGAGCTGAAGTACAGTTTCTTTAATCAGTGTTAGAAGGTGGCAAAATGTGGACATGACAATCAGTGTGTATGCTGTGATATAACTCTGTATATTAACAACCTATAAATCTGCTTTAGGCATGTAGAGGAGTATTTTCTACCCAGGATAATTCAGGAAGTAACTGGTCAGGTAAGTTAAAAGAAATTTTTAATTTTTCTTTTTAACTTTAGCATTTTCCAGATTCAGCAATTTAAATGGATAGAACTGGTGACAAAAAACTGTAGTACAACAAATTCTGCTTTCATTTGTGTTGCAGTTTCACAGGTTTCAGTGAGTTCTCGGTTAAGTTATAGAGCATAATTTAACCTTCTTTATGTTAGCATTTGGCAGCAAAGCAAGTAAACTTTAAGTTTGCCTCAGTCATTTGTATATACTGGACCTTGATTGTCTCATTTTGCACAATTCTGAGTTTATCTAGGCTGGAGGCTAGAGATGACTATGTCTTTTGAGGTAAAAAAAGATACCCTTCTTGATTCAGAAGGCTCTAAAACTTGGGTTGTTTTCAACTAAAGCATGAGCATGATTCCTAGCAAAAGACAGTCTCTGTTTTGTTGATTGTTTATTTTGGAAGCAGTTTTCATGTCCTAGAGCAAAGCACTGGATATGAATACTGTCAACACAGAATTTTAGTACAGTCCAGAAGTTTGCAGTTTAGAGCTTTTTTTTTCCTTTATTTGGTATAAAATGAAGGAAGGTATAATGCAATTAATGTGTTACTCATTCCACATAAGAATTCAATTTTTGTGTAGTTTTAAGATTTGTGGTTAACTTTTTGAACTGAACAGATTTTTCTGTTACCTATGTGTTCTTGTTTTTTTCTCAGGAAACTGTTCCTTTTGGGGATGCAGTGCTAGCAACCAAAGATACCTGCCTGGGAGCAGAAATATGTGAAGAACTCTGGGCACCAAACAGGTAAAGGAGACGAAATGAAAAGTAAACTAAAACATACCCTGGACCTGCCCAAATTAAATGTTTGGGGAAAAAATATGATTATTATTTTTCCATGTAGTATAACTTTCAGAAAGTGCCAGCAAGCTAAAATAGCATTAAGAACGATAAATACATCATGGGGAAAGATTTCACTAGGCTAGATGCAGGGTGGGTAAGCTAAATTCACCTGAAACAGAAAGTAAGAGAGAAATACCAATGAGAAGCAGAATGAAAAAGGTGACCTTAGGAAACAAATGACAAATGATTATAGTGCTTGCATTCCAGATACTGCTCAGCTTTTAGTTCTACCTGAGGTTGAAATGTCCTCTCTGGATCCATATTGAGTCAAAATGACGAAGTTATTTTGTATCAGTTTATAGTATTGATTTTTTTTTTTTCCTAGCAATTATAATCCTGTATTATTCCCACTTACTGTACCTAGTCTCAGAAATTTGAGACTAATAGAAGTTCTTTTTATTTTAATTACCTTATTCTTATCTTTCGCTTTGACCAACTCCTCCAAAGCATTCCACTTAACAGAGGGGGGTTGGAACCAGATGATCTTTAAGGTCCCTTGCAACCCAAACCATTCTGTGATTCTGTGATTTGACAAGCTAGAGCATAAGCTTCTAGACAGTATCACTTTGAGGTGCATCACTTATATTTCTTCTGTTTAGCTGTTAGCTTAATCCTTCTGCTTTACTTTTTAAGCAGCATCAGACAATGCAGCAGGAAACAGCAGAAGGTTACTGAGGGCAAACAAAACTTAGTGCCCTTAAGCAGTTTTTCGTGTTGCTATTTTAGTTCCTATTGCAATTTGAAGTTCTTCCCAATGACAAAGTAGATCCCATTCACAAAGGTCTGGTGTGAGTGGAGATGCGGTTGCATGAAAGCTGTTGCAGTCAACAGAAAATAAACGATATCTTCCCAATGATGTTCCAGATTTTCCAATTACAGACATGCATTTCCCTGTAACTGCAGGTGTGATATGTTACAGACAAGGATGGGGGGGTGTGGGGTGTGTTCAGTGGTTCTTTTAACATTGGAGAAAGAAAAAGAACAGTAAAAATTTCCTTTTCATGGTTCTGTTTGCTTATGCTTTTGGATTTACTGAGAGAAGGAAAATGTGACAACTTACCTTGTAAGAATATCTCTGTGTTGCCCTTTCAGACCAGGATTGTCTTGTTCTCTCTTTCTTTGAGATCTCTGTTTCTATCAAGTAGGAGGCATTTAATTTAGAGCAGAAGAAGCAAAAGCCCTTCTGCCCTCTGCAGTCGCTAGGGCTCTTCAGGAGAAGAGTGAGGCAGTGCAAGAAAATAGATGTTTTTCAGAATCCTGTCCTTGTTTGAGCTAAGACATGCAGAAACCTGTCAGAGATGTTTTTAATTGCCAGTGATTTTAAATGATACCTCACAGCACAGTATCACCAGCTCAATTTATTTCTGCCTTTTGCTTTGGCAGCCCTCATATTGAAATGGGACTGGATGGTGTGGAAATCTTTGCTAACTCTTCAGGGAGTCACCATGTGCTGCGGAAGGCTCACACCAGGGTGGATTTGGTGAATTCTGCCACAGCAAAGGTATATGCTTAAAAAACCCAAACAGTTTTGGTTATGCATCTCATTTATTTTGTTTTCTCAGAGCGGTTTTCTGTGACAAGGACATAGCATGAGTGTGGGGGCCTTGACGGTCTGTGTTGTTAAGTTTCTTGTTTTCTTATCTGCAATTACCTTCCCTAATTGAACCAGCTGTGGGGGACTGTGTGTCTTTGAGGTGCCCTGTCTGTAGCACAAAATTGTTAGGAACAGAGAAATAACATTTTGCCTTTTAACATTCTGCCACATGCAATGTTCTGAAAAGCACTTTTTTTGTCTGCATGTTTGTTTTCCTCCCAGAATGGTGGAATATATATTTTAGCTAACCAGAAAGGCTGTGACGGTGATCGTCTGTATTATGATGGCTGTGCCATGATTTCGATGAATGGAGAAACGGTTGCACAAGGATCCCAGTTTTCACTCGATGATGTGGTAATACATTCAACCTACAGCTGCTGGTTACAGCTGAAATTAGTATGGCTATATTTATGCTCAACATTTTCCAGACATTCCAGATACTAGTTCCTTGTCTCTACACTAAAGAAGATGTATTTTTCTTATGCTATTTCACTTGATCTCAGCTTTTTCCTAGTAAAATTGCCCAGACCTGATCTGCAGTAGCTCTTCTGCTTTTGTGAGCAAGGAAGAGCTGTCACAGTGGAGGAACCTCATGAAAACGTTAATGTGTGCAATCACTGTGTGTTGGAGAGACCCTGTGAACTTGTATTCCCTTGTAAAAAAAAAAAAAAAAAAAAAAATGGTCAAAGCTTGCAGTTTACTGATTATGACCTGGTTTGGTAGACAAAAGATTTGATAGGTTGAGTTTTAGTTCAAGAAACCCTTTCTCAGTGGATTGGTTATCCAAGTTCTAGGTTTATTCACAGTATGTGCCAAATTAATCTCTTTCCCCAGTGTGTTTATTGCCTTTTCCTTTTGTCTTTTGCCACCACTGATGGTGAACCTGTTGTTTGGCCATCTGATGAGCACTGTAAATTTGTTGTGATTTATGAGTGTCCTGGTGTACTCAGTGAGGAAAGTCAGTTAGAATCATAGAGTCAGAGACTGGTTTTGGTAGGAAGAAACCTTAAAGTTCATCCACTTCCATCCCCCTGCCACAGGCAGGGACAATTTCCACCAGGCCAGGTTGCTCCAAGCCCCATCCAGCCTGGTCTTGAACACTGCCAGGGATGGGGCTGTGCCAGGGTCTCACTACTCCCACAGTGAAGAGTTTCTTCCTTATATGCAACCTAAATCTCCCCATATCCAACTTAAACCTCCCTGAGTTGCACTCTCTTGGTAATGTAGGTAATTGTACCAAGTCAGAAATGACCTGTGAAGTGAGCATGAAAATCTGTATTGAAAAAAAAAATGCATGCATTCTTCTTCCCCAACAGTTTTTGTAGTCCAGGCATGTCAAACATTGCGTGTCTGTTTGTGTAGAAGCAATCTAATGTTGCAAACCTTTCCATAGGAGGTGCTGGTGGCCACTCTGGACTTGGAAGATGTTCGAAGTTACAGAGCAGAGATTTCTTCTCGTAACTTAGCGGTAAGAATTCCTGATGGAAGGTTGTGTTTGTAAACTCTGCCAACTTAGAACAGTTGTTGAATTTTAAATGTATTTGCATGTCTTGATTTTCCTAGTATTCTATAGATCTGATGTTTTGCAAGTATATGTTACATTAAAATCAATGCCTTCCTAATTCTTCTGTTGTCTTGCTTAGGCAAGTAAAGTAAATCCTTATCCCAGAGTAAAAGTGAATTTTGCTCTGTCAAGTTCTGATGATATAGCTGTACCTACTTGTATGCCAATCAAGTGGAGACATCATAGTCCTGAGGAGGAGATCAGGTAAGTACATACTGAATCTGTTGCTTGAAAATTATTTTGATTTAAAACAAGCAAACCCCAAAACTCAAACAAGAGAGATAAACATAAGATCTTACTTATATTTAAATAAGAAAATATCTAATTGGAAGACCACACTAAAAATGTTGACTGGCTTACATCTTATTCCATAACCCTCTTGGAATAAGCCTGTTCTCTGATTTCAGCCTTGGTCCTGCATGCTGGCTGTGGGACTATTTAAGGCGTAGCAAACAGGTAAGAATTGTTTCTGTTCGTTGTCTTGGCATACGCATTATCTTCTATGCTATAGGGACACTACACATTGTTACCCTTTCTGCTGTTAATGGAAAGTCATGTTAGTCCGAGGTGCAAGGTTTGAGTTTTTCACTGGTAGCTCAATCAGACTTAAAATTTGTATGGAAAGGGTGAAATCAGTATGCTGTTCAGACCTTTTCCTTAGGAGACATGCTTTCTTTGAAAGTAACAGTCAAGCTTACCTAATAAAGGGGATTTATTTTCCTTTGAAACACTGGTTTGGTTTTGGGTTTTTTTGGTGGGTTTGTTTTTGTTTTTTTTTCCAGGTAGGATATTTCAGTGGCATAATGGAGACGTTTAAAACACCCAGTGACGTGAACTAGTAATTCAGTTTAACAGTGAAATATGTTTGAAAAATGTAGTATTAGCTTTTCTGTCTTACTGGAGGGTAAAGACATAATGAAAGATTTTCTAGCAAGGGTTTACAGTGACTACTTGTTTGATTATCCTTTTGATGAGAGTTTAAGAGAGTTTGCTAGGTCTGGTTAGTTTGCCTTTTCCTAGTGGAATATAAGTAGACTTGAACAATGCATGTGTAAATTTTTTACAAGAGTATGTTTCTGAACAGTACAATATATATTGTTCTAATTTTGCTATTTAGAATGTCTTTCTTGCTCTGTTTTCAAGGCGGGATTCCTCCTACCTCTTAGTGGTGGAATTGACAGCTCTGCTACAGCTTGCATAGTATATTCTATGTGTCACCAGGTTTGCCTGGCAGTCAAGAATGGAAGTAAGTAGATACGTGTGTCTTGCTAGCTATGCTTACTAATGGTTATGGACAAGTTAAGAGTAGTTGCAAGAGGTCATTAGTGGTGGACTCTTGCCCATTTGTTCTAATGGAATCCTGTGTATCTCTTCAGAAATTCCAAATTTCAATTCTTTGAATTGGCTTAGTAGTTTTCATTTTGGGTTTAAGGATTAGATGTGGAACTCAGACAAGTTTCTGTCTAGGGTATTCAAAATGTTGGCTGTTGTAGTTTTAGGATTTCAGTCTATCATGAGCATTTACTCCTTTTGTTGAATTCGGCACTACAAAACATGATTAGATATGGATAGAGCTCTTAAACTGGCTTTAAGTAGGCTATATGCATTTAGCTATGCTTTGTACATATGCGATCATATTTTGTATGAAGTTTCTTTAAGGCATAGAACAAAAGGATTTAATATTAACATGTTCAAAATTAGGAGCAGAATCATTCTTTTATTTGGTATATGAAAATGAGTTTGGGAAGTTAAAAGATGGAGTCATCTTACTTGTGAGGGGCAGTGTAAAGCTTAATTGGAATACAAGACACATACGAGATAATTTGCCTAGCAGCAGCACAATTTCTGCTCTTGCTCTATTTCTTTTGCTCTGTCCTCAGATGCAGATGTGCTGGCTGACGTGTGCAGGATTGTGAATGATGAGACCTATGTCCCTGAGGATCCTCGAGAGTTTTGCAAGCGTGTCTTTACCACTTGCTATATGGCTAGTGAGAACTCGTCCCAGGATACTTGCAACAGGGCAAAACTCCTGGCTGAGCAAATAGGCAGGTACAAGTTGAAAAGTGCTGGGGGTGGGAAATTGTGTTGTGGCATGGACTTTAATGCAAAACTTTCAAATGGGAACTCTAAAATGGGAAATTATAGAAGTGGGAAAGTAGGTATGTTAAACAGCAGTACTATAGACATGACTCATTAAGTGTGTAAACTTGAGGCAAACTTAGAAGCATTTGGTGGAGGATATGGATATTTGGAAACAGAGTCTGGAAAGTGTTATTCTTTCCTAAGTTTCTTTATACCAAATCTGAGATGGTAGCAGCTTTAAAATGTCATTTGATGGCTGGGTTTTTGGCCTTTTTTTTAATGCTGTGTTATCTGGCCAGATGGTGCCATTGAGTCACTTCTGCCTGAATTATTCTCAGCTACCACATCAATCTGAACATAGATGCGGCTGTGAAAGCTATTGTGGGAATTTTCAGCATGGTGACGGGTCGAACTCCCCTGTTTTCTGTCTTTGGAGGGAGCAAAAGAGAAAACCTGGCTCTCCAGAATGTTCAGGTAGGTTTCATGTAGGCTGCATCAGATCAGACCTTTGCTTTTTGCCTTTTTTCTCTCCCTCCCCCCCCCCCCCTTTTTTTTTTTCTTCTCCTTTTCTTTTTCCCTCCTATTTACCCCCTCCTTCTGAAATAGTACATGCCTATAGCTCATCAGTAGCACTGGTACAAATGCTGTTTGGAAGAACATCCCAATAGAAAGGAATTGTCAGGTCAGGAAAATGAGCAGCAAACTATTCTAAGAGACAAGTCTGAAGTCCGGTAGGATGATGGCAGGTCAAGACTCAAAATTATTGCTGACGGATACTAGACTTTCCTCTGGTGGATGTTAGCAGCCTTTGAAAGGCTCTGTGTGAGGTGTCAAGTTTACCCATCCCAATTCCTAGATGTCCTCTGTTTTAGAAGGGAGAATTTTTTTTTTTTTTTTTACATTAGAAGGTATTTAATCTTTGATAGACTCATCAAAAAACAACTTAAATACACACTACCAGTTACGCTTTTTCATTGTGTTGGAACAGATTGGTACTGTACCTGGGAAGTGCTGGTATACATATCCTATAAACTCATGGAAAACAGCTTCCTAGTGACTTCTAGTCCCTGGCTCCTGTACCTTTTGTTGTCTTGATGGCTTTCTTTTTGGCCTGTTCTTGAAAGCTCCCAACCTAACCAGCAATTCTTTATTGATTCTGGCTAAATGCTGATTGTCATCTTTGATTGTTTTTGGTAGCAGGAGACTTAATCTCTCTCCCCCTGCTGTCACTGGATAAATCCAGCTGTCTTGCCTGGAAGTAAACATTGAATCCTTCATGAGCTTTTTGGCAATGGGATAGGCTTTAGTTGCAGAGGAGTGCAATGATTTGCCTAACAGCACACAGTTGTGGCTAGGGCTGAAGGCTGAATCTCGGGTGTGTTTGATGTTATTACCACCTGTCCTAGTTCAGCAGTAGCAGTCATTTTTCTCCTTAGTAGCTGGTGCAGTGCTGTGTTTTTGACTTTCAGTCTGGGAGCACCACTGATAACACTGATGTTTTTAGCTGTTGCTAAGTAATGTTTACACTGAACAAGGACTTCGTTAGTCTCATGCGCTGCCAGGGAGGAGGGGAAGTTGGGAGGAAGCAGAGAGGTCACCTGACCCAAACTGGCCAAAGGGGTATCCATACCACAGCACGTCATGACCAGTATATAAACTGGGGGCAGTTACCTGGAAGGGCTAGAGCACTGCTTGGGTCGAGCTGGGTATTGGTCAATGGGTGGTGAGCAGTTGTATTCTCTTCCCTTGTTATTTCCCTTATCATTATTACTACTGGTGGTAGCAGTAGTGATTTGTGTTATACCTTAGTTACTGGACTGTTCTTATCTCAACCTATGGGAGTTACATTCTTTCGATTCTCCTCCCCATTCCTCCAGGAGAGGAGGGGGGGAAGAATGGGGGGAGTAAGAATGTGGGGGAGTGAGTGAGCAGCTGCATGGGTCTGAGTTACCAACTGGGCTTAAACCCTGACAGTTCTTTTTTGGCGCCCAATGAGGGGCACAAAGGGTTGAGATAATGACAGATCTGACCAGAGTGTGTCTAATCGTATTTGTGAAAAGCATTAATTGTTTCACATTAATAGTCACTCATCACAATGCTGATTTATTGGCTCTCAAAGTTGTTGCTCTTGATCTCGGAGTTTCAGCGTGTCGTACCTTACTTGCAGCCAGTATTTGCTGTTTTAGTGTTTATTGTCTGGGGGGCCTGGGCTAAGGTTCTTGTTTCGCTGTACTTTACGGTAGTGACTTGTAATACAATAGACTTACTGATCATGAAACTGGTCTGGCTTGTGTTCCCATTGTGGTCATCACCTCTATACTACGGGAGGTATATAATGGAAGTGTTTAGCAATTACACATCTTTTTTTCCCCTCCTCGGGTGGTCAGCCTGTGAAGAAGACATTCCCTTATGTTCCCAGCTCCCCCACCAAACTATTTGCAGCATCATCTGAGGGTTTGAAGGTTTTGAATGGCAAAGTGAGTGGCAGGGTGTGTGAGATAGTATGGACAAGTATCTAGGCCAGTGGGGCCCTCCAGTGCTTTGGAACTTCACCACTGAACAAGTGCAAAATCCAGAAAAATTAGTAAAACATTTAAATGAGGTGTGTTGTCATTCTGGTCATACCAGAGAGGGACAAATCATGGCAATGTGCTGGAGCTTGTCTGACACCTACAGAGCCCTGTTCAACGCTGTCCCTTCAAAGGGAAAAAGATGTTTCTGGATCTGATGGGAAAGCAACAGACGATGCAGCTACACCAACCCTAGTGACAAGTACAGCAGGTACTCAAACGCTGACCACAACAGACAACGCAGCTACTCCAGCTCCAAGCACAGCAGCTACACCAACCCCAGCGACAAGTACAGCAGGTACTCAAACCCTGACAGCAACAGACGACGCAGGTGCTTGTGCTGCTCAACCCCCAAACACAGTGGCTGCGCCAACCCTGACAACAGATACTGCAGCCACTCCAACCCTAGTGGCAGACAGTGCAGCCACTCCAACCACAGTGATAATCATTGCAGCTAAACCAAAGGACCAATTCATGCCAATGTTGGTTGTGCCTGTACACAAGGGGAAAAGCAAACAAGAGGCACAAAAAAGCAAACTGTTCAGTGAAGAAAGATGAAGAACCAATGTGCTTACTAGATGGGACAGCATCTGCACAAAAGTTATTATGTGGATCAGAGGGAGAAGAAGAGGTGACTTCTCAACCCCGGACCTCAACTGAGCTACGCAATATGCAAAAAGATTTCACCCGTCATCCAGGGGAGCACATCATCACCTGATTGCTGATGCTGGGAGAATGGGGCTGATGGTCAGGAACTAGAAGGTAGCAAAACTAAGCAGGTGGGGTCACTTGCTAGGGAAGGGAGATTTGACTAAGCAATTCCAAAAGGGAAATGGTCCCTCAGATTTTGGAGGTAACTCTTGGCAGCTGTGAAGGAAAGGTTTCCCTACAAGGATGATGTTATGAGTTGTTCAGCCAAGTGGACTACTCCAGAGAAAGGCATCCAGTCTCTGAGGGAATCAGCCATTATAGAGCTGATCTATTGCAGGCTGGATGCCAAGAATGCATCCATAGATCCAGATGAATTTGAATGTACACGACCCATGTGGCAGAAATTCACACGGAGTGCATCATCATCATATGCCCACTCATTGTCATCAGTGACCTGGCATGACGTAGCACAACCAACAGTGGATGAAGTGATTCATCAACTCCAAGAGTTTGAAGACAGTGTCACCCCTTGCATCATTTCAGCTGTGGAAAAACTGTCCCAGGAGTTCAAACAATTGAGAGACTATCTATCTGATCTATTCAGCTCCCTACGTGTACCAACCCACGTCTCAGCTATTAACAAAGGGTGCCCTACTGCTTGACAGAGAAGATACAGGAGGTACAGGCCGCCTTATAGTTTTACCTGCGGGATCATGGAGAAGACATGAGAAAGTGGGATGGAAAACCTACCTCAGTTCTGGGGGAACGGGTGCGTGAATTGAAGAGGAGAACAAAGGTCAAGGATGATCATCCCGTGAAAGCTGTGCCTTCAGTCTCTGGTAAGCAGGTTCCCAGATGGAGTGGAAGAGCTGATTTTACTCCAGCTCCTGTGATAAAGCAATGGTATATTGAAAAATGTGGGATCTGAGCATGAAGTGAATGATATGGAATAAGGGGTGGAGACTGCCCTGGGTTCAGAAGTAGCAGTCATTTTTCTTCCTGTTAGTAGCTGGTGCAGTGCTGTGTTTTTGACTTTCAGTCTGGGAACAACACTGATAACACTGATGTTTTTAGTTGCTGCTCAGTAATGTTTACTCTGAACAAGGACTTTCTGAGTCTCATGCGCTGCCAGGGAGGAGGGGAAGTCGTGAGAAAGCAGAGACAGGACACCTGACCCAAACTAGCCAAACAGGTATTCCATACCACAGCACGTCATGACCAGTATATAAACTGGGGGCAGTTACCCGGAAGGGCTAGAGCACTGCTCGGGTCAGGCTGCGTATTGGTTGATGGGTGGTGAGCAATTGTATTTTCTTCCGTGGTTATTTCCCTTATCATTATTATTATTGGTGGTAGCAGCAGTGGTTTGTGTTATACCTTAGTTACTGGACTGTTCTTATCTCAACCCGTGGGAGTTGCATTCTTTCGATTCTCCTCCCCATCCCTCTGGGAGAGTGTCCTGGGTTCAGCAGTAGCAGTCATGTTTTTTCCTTTATGTTAACTGGTGCAGTGCTGTGTTTTGACTTCTAGTTTTGAGAACAGCGTTGGTGAAGCCGATGTTGTCGGTTGTTGCTAAGTGATGTTTACCCTGACCAAGGACTCTGTGAGGCTCATGCTCTGCCAGGGAAGAGGGGAAGCTGTGAGGAAGCAGAGACGGGGCGCCTGACCCGGGCTAGCCGGGGAGGTATTCCATACCACAGCACGTCATGCCCGGGGTGGGGGGTAACTGGGAGTTACCCGGAAGGACAGGGGCTTCCGGGTGGAACTCGTTTTCTTGGCCGGTGGTATCGTATTCTCTTCCCTTGTTATTTTCCCTTATCATTGTTTTTAGCTGATAGTAGCGGTGGTGATTTGTTGCTGGACTGTTCTTGTCTCAACCCGTAGGAGTTGCACTCTCTCGATCCTCCTCCCCGTTCCTCCGGGAGCGGGGAAGGGGAGAGCCCCGGTGCAGGGAGGGGGGGGAGACGAACACGGACCTTGATTGTTGTCAGCTCGGCACCACTCACTGGGAGTGAGTGAACAAGTTACCTGACTGGGTTTAAACCACGACAGTTCTTTTTGGCGCCCAACATGGGGCACGAGGGGTTGAGATAAGAACAGATCTGACTGGATTGATAGTCACTCGTCACAATGCTGATTTATTGGCTCTCAAGGTTTTTTCTCTTGATCTCACAGTTTCAGTATACCATATCTTACGTCCATCCGGTATTGGCTGTATTAGTGTTTTTCAAGTGTGGGGCTTGGGCTAAGGTT